CATATAATTATATTAAACACGTCAGAATATAGCAATATTAAACCAAAATTAGTGTGAAAACAAGGGGTGAAAATTTCCTGTTTTCCTGAATGTATGTACCAGGGACTTAAGCGAAATTATAAATTTTGTAGATGCAGTCAGAAAGTGTACCAAAAATTATTCAAATTTCATAAAATATCTTATCATTGCAACAGCGAAAATTGTATTCAGATTCTTGGTTGATCAACTCACATAACAGGAAATTATTATAAAGCTCTTCCGACAAAACATCTCTCCATAATAATAACCTAAACCTATATATACGTCTTAATAATTCTTCAAAATATTTCAACTTATGCAAACAAATTTTATACGTATACTTCTTAATATAACTGAAACTCATTTTACTTTTTTAAACGTCATGCACGGCAAACCAAACTCCAAAATGTAGGTTTTCATCGACAATATAAATACCGAGTCTACATAGAGAAAACAAGAATGTGCCTAATATTTAAGCTTTTGGCTTGAAAAAGAATTGTAATCCATTACAACAAGTTTGGGAGACCCTTGACTGTCCCGGGGGAAGAGAAAAATATATTATCAACGAATGACGCATAATCAAAAGCGTCAGAATTAAATTTATATACTGACCCAATTAAAAACATGCATGCGCTATCCTACGGCAACATGTTTAATCAGCATGCTGAGTGTACCTAAGGAATTTTAGTTGAACAGCTATATACTCTCGTGTTTAATATTATCGCACATAAACAAACAAATGATAACATATACGTGTAACATGAGAATGACAAAAACTTATATTATACAAATCTTAAAATTCGTCCAATTTCATGTCCATGTACAAGCGTTCTAACCATCAGGAAGGATCCGGGGAACTCTGAGATTTTTCTGCCGCGTCTCAGTAGCCGTTGCATAACCACGGAGGCTTCCACTGGTGCGTCTTTCGCTGGATATCAGCCTGATTCATAACATTAAGGAGCGGGTAGGCACGGTCGTATTCGTCTGCTTTCGACTGATGAGAGGTGGACCATGTTTCCAATCCTTGTTCAAAGGAGCTGTACACTGGGTTGTGACCATTTGTTTTAGGCCAGCAACTAAAATATGAGACAAGCTCTAGCATTGCCGTCAGTAGAAGTATTGATGAATAGAAGAATAGCGTTTCGTTCGGCCAAGTCATCTCGCTGTTTAAGCACTCGTTTCTAACCAATGTTCGAAATGACGATTGTTCTAAATTCTTCTGAATATTTGGCGGACTGATTGAGTTTGTGAAACCGCCGATCCTCCACCAAATTGTTATATGACTTTTCTAACGTTTCATATACTTTTTGGCTTCGCTAGTCCACTCCGCTAGTTCACTCCGCTAGTTCATAAGGCCGTTCCTCCACCAAGTTGTTATAATGTTCTTTATTTGATACGCGAGGTACGAGATCTTTACAATAGTTTTAACTAAAGTTCGCTAATGTTCTCTTCTTTCTCCGTTCTTCTCTTCTCTACTTCTCTATCTTCGTCGTTTTGCGTTCTTGTCTTTGGTCGTCTGTCCTGTAGGTTGAGCTTCTTAACGTTTCATAAGTTAATCTTTACTCCGCTAGTCCACTGAAGGTTCAGGTGCTGTGCACGCCCTTTTATAATGAGGGTTCAGTGACTCTTGCATACGTCATCAACCATAGTGGGCTGATCCTTATCCAGCCAATCAGCGTTGTACATGTAACCAGTGGGTTGGTCTTAGAAGCTCGTTCCAGCTCTCATATCTTGTTTATTTAAGGCGTTGTCGCACTAGTCGAGTTGGTCTTCTGCTCAATCGATCAATACTTAAAAATGTTCACAACTTAAAATATTCATCATCAACAACTAGTAAAATATACCAACAATACGTCTGTGAACAATATCTTTTAACTTAAACTATTTTCACTCTTATTTTATCGAATTGAACTTGTGATGACGTAATCTATTACATGCTTGACCGAGCAACATTTTTAACACAATTGATTGACATATGAACTTGAATGGCCTACAGCGCGCACACTTTTTTTAAAGAATGCGACCATTAAGATAAGTGACGACTTACGAATGTTTATCCAGGTATTAATTCTGAGAGGATTATATTTATTTTCACCTTATTACTTATTTAATCCCACGATATGTCATACATGAAAGGGAAAGGCGATTAATGGTTGCGAATGGCCGAAAATTATATTTACTTAGGCATCTTGTGGCAAAACTTAATCACTAATCCCTGTCATGCTATTGATATTCCTATTTTTACGGCTATTTTTATATGCGTATCTCTAAACACAATGAAGCCTTGCGTAACACCTATATATGACTTGGTTTTTTTGCACGATGCGCGAAACGTATGTTTTAATACTTAGCGGTTTTGATTATTGATTTTCTTCGTGGAGGCTGAACATGACTCTAAAGCCCAACCTCGTACCCAGGGTCTTTTTACTACAGCGTGGGCCTTGGAACGAGGTTATCTAAAGCCGCGTTTACACTTCTGGACCTGGTCTAGGACAAGTCTAGGTAATGTATGCTACGTTCACACTGTCTCCTTGTTGATGATATCGGGTAGCCAAAGTAATTGACAAAATACTTGGAAAAAGACCGAAAACAGCCCGAAAAGGGGTAATACTATATCTATCCTATACATTATACAAATCATGCTATTAAGTTAAAAATTTGCCAGGACTACGAGTGTCATCGAAACATTGGGTCGTGAATGCAATCTTTAGGCGCTGATTAGTTTCATTATTTAAAACCAGAGGCAGAATAGCGATGATGCAATAGATTATACACCTGTTTGCCATGAACTCATATCAACTTCAAATAATCCTTAAGTATTAAAGACCTTAAGATTGACGTTCACGGCAGACCGCTAACAGTAAGCTTCAGTAAATCCCATTTTAACGTAAACCCCACAAGTTCCACTTCAATATTTACAACCAAATTGTCCCAACTATACAATCGGCTAAATTATTTGGTGCCGTAAATATGCAGACTTCTATAATTATGCTGTTAAAGTTAAACAAGCTACATTTAGTTTCTATACCACTACGACGTTATACAACCATGGAAGATCATGAAAATTGTTTCTAAACACATACCTTTATATGCTTTTCCAGTCGAAGCCCCGTGAATGCTTGAACGGTCTTATTCATATTGACATTTGATTAGTGAAGGAAAGCCTTCCAAATCTCGAATACATTTGCTTTCTTCCAGAGGAAGCTATATTCCATGCAGCGAACATCATTTTGTTTCAAAGCTTTTACGATTGGAAGCATTAAAGTTATAAATCTCGTCAAAACAGTTCTTAACCTCAGCCGTGTGTTTGTCAACGAGGCAAATAGATTTGAATAAGACAGCAAACTGTTCAAGTTTAAAGTTGGTAATTTCTGAATTATTAATGAATTTGCATTCTCATTAATTGTCCCTTAGTCCCTGGCATTTTGTTTTCTTTTATTTTAAACGGCACCAGGGCCTGTTCCAAACGTTGTACAGGGTGTCCCAAAAAAAAACGCAACCACTTAAATATGCAAGAATATTAATATTGTTCGGGTTTGCACCATAATTCAGCTAAAATGACTTTTAGCATTGTAAATGAAGGATTAAGAGCCATTTTCAATCCCAGAGGTGCTTATCTATTGCGCTTTAGAGCTGTATTAATGTTCTGCATATTTAAGTGGTTGCTTTTTTTTTGGGACACCCTGTACATCTGATAATGATGCAACTCAGTTGATTAACTATTGTTTAAAATGCGTTCGGCTCATGAGAAGCACAACGTTTGAAACCTAAATAATGTGGCCGTAAATTTATATTGTTCAAGGCGAGCAAAAAATCTGTGATATGGCAGAATATGCTTTCCACTAGGTCGAATTTTTTGATCGAACGAAATTTTTTGCTTGATTTTCTTTTCAACTGTGGCTTGTCAAGGGAATTCGGTACGGTCGAAATTCAACGAAGCGTGAGAGGACTTTGAGGCATTGAAATAAGTCTTTACGACACCAAACAAGGACATGCTATTGTTGTGCATGGTGATTGCCAGGATGATGTTATCTGCTCATTTCAATACCTCAAAATCATCTCACGCTTCGTTAAATCTCGGGTAACCGCGCTCATGTGAACAGCCCCTAAATAAAAAAAAATCAGGCGAAAATGCAACAAAAAACTTTCTGCTTTACCCCTGACAAGGCTGATTATAAATATTCTCAATACCCAGAGTTTTCACTCACACCTGACACCTCACATTCACAATGTGAATATAAAAGCAATATTGTCGTTGAAGAATGAAGATATACTTAAAAGTTTAAACATTAATCAGTTCTTTTAATGAAAAATTACAAAGACCTTATTATTATATTAGCCCCCCACTTAACGATATTCTGCCGTCTATGATGATTCAATCACGAAGTCTAATAACTAAATTTGCATTGCTTTATTATCCAACCTAAACTAGGCACCAGTAACACGATACCGGATTAGTTTTCGTATCGGATAATCTACGCTGATTCGATATACATATGGTATCGGATTTGTCTTGATTACACGATACCGGATTAGTTTTCGTATCGGATAATCTTCGTTGATCTGATATACATATGGTATCGGATTTGTTTTGATTACACGATACCGGATTGATTCAAAATACAAACCGTGGACAGGCAGTGGAGTCGGTAACCTTTGCAAGCGTTTGATGTTCATTTATTTTTCCCGCCAAACATATTATACCCCGGATAAGAGGGGTTTAATATCATGGAGTTGCACGGAAACAGAAATGTACAGGATCATTTTTCATGTCACCTCCAGAGCGGAGTGATTTTCACTCCACGGAGCGTACCGCATTGCTACATTCTCGTGTGGCGCCTATCTGATATAGAAAGTAATCCGCGCTATGCTACTATATATAATCCGCTATCGTGAAACTGGGGCCTAAAGCCGGTTTTCCAGTAGGCGAGATTTTTCGATCGAACGAAATTTTTCGCTCGATTTTCTTTTCAATGGTGAGAATTCGACCGTAGCAGTTCCCTTCACCGCTCACAATTGAATGCATGCATGGATTATATAATAAACAAATCTTCGCGGATTGCGAAAGAGGAGGTGTTTATTACAACAGGTGAAAACACCCAATGTTTTGCATTCATTATTCACGTCTACTGACTTCACACATCACACCATCTCGTGGAGTAATTGTCAGTCTTTCCAACTTTCTGTCAGTCTGACCTGGCAATAGTTTGAATTGAAACTTCCGCAATAATTTTGCAAGAATAACTTTTGACTCAAACTTTGCAAACATCTGTCCGATGCAATTATGTGGGCCAATGGAAAACGGGAAATGGGTCATGCTGAAATTTGGGATGTTCTCGGTATTGGAGAAACGCTCTGGCTCAAAGATCTCAGGGTCCTTCCAAATTTCAGGGTTCATTCCAAAAATTAGTGGTGTAGAGTGGATTGAATCTCCTTTTGGAATGATACAATCCCCGATTGTGATGTCTTTTGTCGACACCATTGCCGGTATTTCTGATGCTATAGGATGTTTTCTTAAGTTTTCCTCTAAAACCTGACCAAGATACGTCATTTTTGCCAAATCATCAAACTCAACATAATCACGTCCAGCTAGAACAGTGTCCAGTTCGTTCAAAAGTTTCTCCTCAACATGGGGATTACTAATAATTTCATACAAAGCAAAAGACAAGGAATTAGCAGTTGTCTCTTGTCCAGCGAGAAAAATTGTAACAAACTCATCAATCATATCATCCATTGACAAACTGCCATTTTTTATTAAAATGCTCAACAAGTCATTTGGAACAGCTTTCCCATCAGAAATGTCTTTCATTCGAGTTTTAATACAATCTGAGGCAAACATTCTGAGAAATCGAGCTGCAGCAATTTGCTTTCTTTTGGTAGCGTTCTGGAACAGCTTGAATTGAAATATTCCCAAAAGGGTGGGACTGAGAGGGTTGTCGAAATTGTCCTGCACGCCAATCATGTAGTCCCTTACTGCTGCTGGAAAGGGGGAATTTGGGTCTTCAATAGCATGGGTATTAATATTGAATGACACTTGGCTTATAGCTTCCAGAGTTACTTTACCAAACTCCTGCACCATACTCGTCGGCTGGCCACCATCGACAACTGAATCCATCCGGATCATAAACATATCAGAGACATCATTGAAATTACTGATGAACTCTTTAAGGCACTTGCGATGAAATGCGGGATTCATAATTTGCCGATGTTTGCGCCAGGATTCTTCGTTTGTGTTGGTCACTAAACCATAACCCAATCCCCTCTCGCCATAAACAAAACCAATTTTGTCGTAAAAGAAGGGACTCTTATGTAGGCTCTTGTAATTGGTTATAAAAACATGTCTCAAGTACGTCGCATCTGCCAAGAACACAATAGGCAAGTGTAGAAAATGTAAGACAAATATCGGTCCGTATTCAAGTCGTATTTTCAGCAGAAATTCGTCCAGTGTTCGGCCTGTTGTGGTTTGGTATCTCTGAATATCAGGAAGATGACCAAATATGAAGCTTGAACGAGGTGGCCCCGGCAAATGATCGTTGATTTTGTGAACATAATACAAATATGCCACATAAAAGAGAACGAAGCCGAGACATCCAACCAAGATTGCGGCGAATATGTACGATAATAAACTCAAAACCGAGACAGCCATTGTTATACACTGATGTCTATATACTACAAATTGCGCAATTTAATATGGCAAACTCACGCCTGACTGCATGGGTAAACATTGCATTATTGCACAGCATGGGGATTAAATTACACAAGAGTTAAAACTCCCTTACAAAACCACTTCATTTATTTACCTGCGCTTTAATAATGGAGAACTCCAGATCTAGATTAGACAGGCTAAATTTTGATCAAAAGCACTTCGTGGGTTGCTGTGTATATTTTTGAATGATTTAAATAATTAATGACGAGTTAACGATTGAATGAACAAATAAATAATTTCAGATATCCAGCTGCAAACAAATTTTGATAGAAGCAAGAAGAAAATTTGACACCATGGATGAAAACAACTTCGTGTATTCTACCTCGTTTAATTGTGTATATTTGCATACGCGTGTACTTTATAGCAAAACATTATAGTTGCTTTCAACAACAAACTTTCTGCTTGCCCCTGACAAGGTTATATTGTTATAAATCTTTTCAATACACAGAGATTTCACTCACACTGACACCTCACATTCAAAATGAATATAAAAGCAATATTGTCATTGAAGATATATTTAAAAGTTTCAAAGTTAATCAGTTATTTTAATTAAAATTTACAAAACTTTTTTTATTATTATAATTATTAGCTCCCACTTAACGACCTAGCGCCGTCTTTGTTGATTCAATCACACAGTCTAATAAGTAAATTTAGAGCCGGTGTTTTATTATCCAACCTAAACTAAGTCTTTCCAGAGATTACACGATTATAACTAATTTATATTCATTATATGAACATGGGTGTTATATAGAGTTTTACGCCACCGAGAAAAATCGTATTAAAACACACGTAAAAATACGATATTTTTACGTGTAAAAAATATCATTTTCGCAAGCCAATCAATAACCGCTTAGGAAATATATGTTCGACCAATCAAAAAATCTGTTGTAAAACGTTCCAGTTTTTGAATTTGTGAAATAATTTGTTCATATAAAAAACAGAATATTACATGGTTGCTTGGAAATATGGATTTATTTCTCGTATTGAAGAGAAAATCTATACGTTTAACATTCAATACAAGAATCTTCGTGGAATGCAAAAGAAGAAGTGTTTATTACAAGAGGTGAAAACACCCTGAATGTTCTGCTCTCATTATTCACGTCTACTGACTTCACACATCACACCGTCTCGTGGAGTATTGATCAGTCTTTCCAACATTCTGTCAGTCTGACCTGGCAATAGTTTGAATTGAAACTTCCGCAATAGTTTTGCAAGAATAACTTTTGACTCAAACTTTGCAAACATCTGTCCGATGCAATTATGCGGGCCAAAGGAAAAGGGGAAATGGGTCATGCTGAAATTTGGGATGTTCTCGGTATTGGAGAAACGCTCTGGCTCAAAGACCTCAGGATCCTTCCAAATTTTAGGGTTCATTCCAAAAAGTAGTGGTGTAGAGTGGATCGAATCTCCTTTTGGAACGATATAGCCCCCGATTTTGATCTCTTCTGTCGCCACCATTGCTGGTATTTGTGTTGCTACAGGATGTTTTCTGGAGGTTTCCTCAATTACGTGACCAAGATACGTCAATTTTGCCAAATCATCAAACTCAACATAATCACGTCCAGCAAGAACAGTGTCCAGTTCGTTCAAAAGTTTCTCCTCGACATGGGGATTACTAATGATTTCATACAAGGTAAAAGACAAGGAATTAGCAGTTGTCTCTTGTCCGGCGAGAAAAACGGTCAAAAATTCGTCAATTATGTCCTCCATTGACAAACTTCCATTTTTTATTAAAATGCTCAACAAGTCATCTGGAACAGCTTTCCCATCAGCAATGTCTTTCATTCGAGTTTTAATACAATCTGAGGCAAACATTCTGAGAAATCGAGCTGCAGCAATTTGCTTTCTTTTGGTAGCGTTCTGGAAAAGCTTGAACTGGAATATTCCCAGTAGGGTGGCGCTAAGAGGGTTGTCGAAATTGTCCTGCACGCCGCTCACGTAGTCTCTTATTGCTGCTGGAAAGGGGGAATTCGAGTCTTCAATAACATTGGTATTAATATTAAACGATACTTGGCTTATAGCTTCGAGAGTTACTTTACCAAATTCCTGTAACATACTGGTTGGCTGGCCACCATCGACAAGTGTATCCATCCGGGTTAAAAAGAGATCAGAGACATCATTGAAATTATTGATGAACTCTTTAAGGCACTTGCGATGAAATGCGGGATTCATAATTTGCCGACGTTTGCGCCAGGATTCTTCGTTTGTATTGTTGGACAAGCCATAACCCAACCCCCTCTCGCCATAAATAAAACCGATTTTGTCGTACAAGAAGGGACTCTTATGTAGGCTCTTGTAATTGTCTATGAAAACATGTCGCAAATACGTCGCATCGGCCAGAAACACAATAGGCAAGTGTAGAAAATGTAAGACAAATATCGGTCCGTATTCAAGTCGTATTTCCAGCAGAAATTCGTCCAGTGTTCTGCCTGTTGTGGCTTGGTATCTCTCTATATCAGGAAGATGACCAAATATGAAACTCGAACGAGGTGGCCCCGGCAAATGATCGTTGATTTTGTGAATGTAATACAAATATGCAACAGAAAAGAGAACGAAGCCAAAACATCCAACCAAGATTGTGGCGAATATGTACGATGATAAACTCAAAACTGCCATTCTATATATTTTGATAAAAGTCGATTTGTACAACGTTTAAGAGATTGTTTATATGACTGTTCACTCACGTGCCTATCAAATGTTCACTCACGTGCTTATGAGTAATTCAATCGAAGCGATGACGTCATGATAAAAGAGGTCAAGGGAGTAAAAACAATATTAATGGATATTAGGAGTTTTATAGATATTAGGACCTAGATCTCATTTAAGTGGGGAAGTGTGGTCTTGACTTCCGTGTGGTAAAAAAAATCAAGAACACCGACCGGAAGTAAATTGAGCCGTTTTAGATGACGACAGCCGTTCTTGTTTGAAATGGAAAACGTGAAATCCTGTCCACTGCCGTTCTAGATCTCAAGTCACAGACGCAGACGCCGACGCAATAATCCACTGTTAAATAATGTACGCGTGACGTCCGTGTTGTTAAAAACGAGGCTATTTCAAATAAACTCGAAATAAACATAGTCGTAACAGATTTGCATACCAAGATAAAAACAAATTTACATCCGGCTATTTCTCATCTGCGAAAATGACTTACGACTAAAGAGAAACCACTCTACACTACACTTAATTTATGCTATTTTACAGCTAAGATTGTACTGTACAATTACTTAATGGTTTCCGTGTTTGGCGCGGGGATGTTGCGAGAGTTAAGAAAAGCGCGCGAAGCACGGGAAAAGCGCGCGAAGCACGGGAAAAGCGCGCGAAACACATCATTGTTTTATAAAATAACATTGACAAGGCCTGAATTTAAATTTAAATTCTTTAACATTTTAATTTTCCGTGTTTGGGTGGCCTGATCCAAACACGAGCTTCGACCAATCAGAACACGCGTTACATGCATGTTTTTTTATAATAGGTTATTCCCAATAGATTCATTGTGTAAAGTATAGACAGAAAAAATTGACAAATACACAGCCAAATCTAAACTCCATGATTTTCAAAAATTTTAATCCACAAAAAGTTACAAATATTCCTGATACCATAGTCATATATATTTACCAACTTTGTGGGATATATAGTCAAAAGGTGTTCCAATTCGTTGCTTTGATTATTCACGTCTGCTGACTTTACACATCACACCGTCTCGTGGAGAAATTGTCAACTTTGCCATCATTCTATCGGTCTGTCCTGGCAATAGTTTGAATCGAAATTTGTGCAATAATTTTGCAAGAATAATCTTTGTTTCATACTTGGCAAAAGTCAGTCCAATGCAATTGTGTGGGCCAATGGAAAAAGGGATATGGGTCATGCTAAAATTAGGAATTTTCTCAGTTTCAGAGAAACGGTCAGGGTCAAAGACTTCTGGGTCCTTCCAAATTTCTGGGTTCATGCCAAAAAGAAGCGACCTGCTGTGAACTCCAGTTCCTTTGGGGATAAGGAATCCTCCAACGGTGATATTTTTTTTCAACGTCATTGCAGGGGCTTGTGCTATTGGGTGTTTCCTCAAAGATTCCTCAAATACGTTACCAAGATACGTCAATTTTGCCAAATCATCAAACTCAACATAATCACGCCCAGCAAGAACAGTGTCCAGCTCGTTCAAAAGTTTCTCCTCAACATGGGGATTATTGATGATTTCATACAAGGTAAAAGACAAGGAATTAGCAGTTGTCTCTTGTCCAGCGAGAAAAATGGTCAAAAATTCGTCAATTATATCATCCATTGACAAACTGCCATTTTTTATTAAAATGCTCAACAAGTCATCTGGAACAGCTTTCCCATTAGCAATGTCTTTCATTCGAGTTTTAATACAATCTGAGGCAAAAATTCTGAGAAATCGAACTGCAGCAATTTGCTTTCTTTTGGTAGCATTCTGGAAAAGCTTGAACTGGAATATTCCCAAAAGGGTGGGACTGAGAGGGATGTCGAAATTGTCCTGCACGCCAATGAGGTAATCCTTTACTGCTGCTGGAAAGGGGGAATTTGGGTCTTCAAGAGCATGCGTATTAATATTGAATGACACTTGACTTATAACTTCCAGAGTTACTTTGCCAAATTCTTGTACCATACTGGTCGGCTGGCCACCATCGACAACTGTATCCATCCGTGTTAAAAAGAGATCAGAGACATCATTGAAATTACTGATGAACTCTTTAAGGCTCTTACGATGAAATGCGGGATTCATAATTTGCCGATGTTTACGCCAGGATTCTTCGTTTGTGTTTGTCACCAAGCCATAACCAACTCCTCTCTCGCCATAAATAAAACCAACTTTGTCGTAAAGAAAGGGACTTCTATGCAGGCTCTTGTAATTGTCGATGAAAACATGTCGCAAATACGTCGCATCCGCCAGGAAAACTACAGGAATGTGCAAGAAATGTAAAACAAATATCGGTCCGTATTTGAGTCGTGTGTCCAACAGGAATTCGTCCAGTGTTCTACCGATCTCGGTTTCGTATTTCCAAGTATCAGGAAGATGACCAAATATGAAACTCGAGCGAGGTGGACCCGGCAAGTGATCGTTGATTTTGTGAACATAATACAAATATGCCACAAAGAAGACAGCGAACCCAAGACATCCAACCAGGATTGCAGAGAAAATGTACAATAACAAACTCAAAACTGAGACTGTCATTATAAACAAGTGTGGTATTTACGTCATCATGTAACTTGATATAGGTATATACATAATATACGATATCAGACTCGGTCTTTCGCAATTGACTTGATAGGAACAAACGCGCGAAACTGTTTACGTGTTGGAGAGAAACAGCGAACAGATTAATTTTGTGCATCAATAAACATCACTACATTGACTTTGTCATACATTAACCGCGTACTTGAACATAAGTGTTGAGAAAAATGAACGAGAAAAGGTTGTAAAATCATATTATACGATGTGAATAACTCGGAATATTCAAGCAATATATTTCTTACAAATGCACAGAATTGCAATAGAATGCAATGCACTAAAACTGTAGACATTCGTGCAGAGTTATTTCGCAATTTGCATATTAATAATAATTAGTATACTATGCAAATATTATCATTATTTTTGACTGAATAAAAGAAATATTTGTTAGCATAGTTACAAAGATCGACTTATTCAACGATAATATCGTCATTGCCATTGGCGATATACTTATTTAGTTCATGATCAAATGGATTGAATAATGCTGCTATTTCATTGCGGGTACATTCGTTTTGTTTTGCTATGCCTACAGCCTTACAGGGTGTATAAAAAAACGTTATACAGGGTGAGTAAAAAAAAACGGACACTTTGAAATTCAAATTAGTCGCATAGCGGCTGTAGCTGTAATGTGACAGAAGTTGCTTAAAATATTTCATAAGTATACGAGGCATATCATATTAATTAACCTAAGACATAAAGTTTGTTCCCTTTGGGAGTTAAAATGCATTCTAAGCTCTGTAAATACAAAAGAACAGTATTATCAAATCGTTTTTGCTGATTGTACATGGAAATTGTCATATTCCAGCCATAAGTTCGCAGCTAATTACTCCGGCGTCAGCGACGGAGTTGAAAATTCGCCCCGGTTTTGTTTTGTTTTTTTGTTTTTTTGTTTTTTTGTTTTTTTTTTTTTTTATTTTTCGTCGTCGCAAGTCTGTAATGGCGCGAAATATACTAGTATTAAAAACGTGTATGTGACCGTATTTATCTACGTCCCAGTCTTATCTCCCAAGAGTTGTGGTGCACAGCTTTGGCTAATTTTCCAATGCGCGATTCGATTTCGCTCGCATGATACGGCAATTCCTCCAAGAGGAACAAATAAACCGTTCTTTTCATGCTGTTCGATTAAGTTTAGATTGAATTGGGGTAAGAATATATTTAATACATGTAGACCCGGTCCTATTTTAATAATATCGCTGCTATTTCGCCGTTTAACAAGATGATGTGGTCGTGTATGGGCGCGTTGACACGTCGCGTAGTTTGCACAGGATCGAAGATTTAATACAACTATATAAGCGCGAATTCCAAAGGCAAAGTGTAAGACGAAGCGAATGTATCATGCGGTTTATTTACATTTTTGAACAATTGAACTTCTATACTGCGATGTGCTTCTGAATTTCGCGATCGAACATTTAGGTTCGTAAGGCATCTAAATGCGAATATGTATGCGAAACAATACGCGAACTGTATTGTTTATGTCCAGAAGCTCTATATTGAAGACTGGCACGTGCGCCGGAGTTAACGCCAGAACGGCGTCTTGTTTGAATTTCAAAGGTGTCCTTTTTTTTTGACTCACCCTGTATAATTCCCAGAGCCAGATGCCTGCATTCTTTTGTTATTGAATAGAAGCGAACATATATGAATATTTAAGTGTTTGATGGTTTTTTAGCATCCTGTAGACTTGTCCTTAGTCAAGACTACCTCGTTCCCAGGTTGAATTGGACCTGAAAGCAGCGTTTTCGAAGAGTTTTCGACTTCTTTGTGGTCAAAAAAACACGATGGACTATTCTCGTTGATTTTGTGAATATAATACAAAGTGTATATGTACGATTATAAACTTAAAAATCGATTCAGGTTCGCAAAACAAGATATGTTAACATATTCCATATTGAATTGCACAGCCAAAGCAAGTAAATTAAATTTTGCAAATAAAACCTGGTTTACACTATTTAAGGCCTTATTTAGTGGCACTACAAGTCTAAAATGGGATTTTTACCAACTAATATTCGCGGAGACGAAAAATCAAGGCTAGTTTTAATGAATTCATTGTGAAGATAAAAAATTAAAAGTAGGCTACAGGGTGAAGTTGTGTAAGACTAGTTAACTTTTAACTGTAGTTAAGGACAGAATTGGCCTATCAGAGTTGTGTATTTCTGAGTTAACTAGGAGTTGACTATGCAAAGTGTACTTAAAGACAGTGGCCTAGCCAGCACGATAATCAGGATTAATTTCTTATTTTTCAAATCAATTGTCTTTACAGTCTGTTAACATGAATATACAAATATGCCCCCCCCCCAGTTATCGATGCTGGCTACGCCCCTGGTTAAAGAGTTTTATACAATCAGCCCCAGTATCCAGGTGGGTTTATACAGTGGCCTCTGCGTATCGGTTCTGCATGCTCATAACAATGGGTAGACTACTTGAAAGCACGTTTATTACTTTTCTAATTTCTAAACAAAAAACTCAAGCTTATAAACAATTATTGGATGAGGTTTTTGTGATAGGCAGAGTTATCAAGGTCGAGCCTTCGGCTCGGCTGATAACGCTTACCTCGACCGTGATAACTCTGCATATCACAAAAACCGAATTTAATAATTGTTTTATTATACATTTGAAGAATAGTAAACACAGTATTAACGAATGAAAAACCTTATTTAATAGCAACATTCAAAAATACATCAATTAAATACATAAATATATTCAAATGAATACCGCTTGTTAACCACCGCAGGCTCACTAATTATGCAAGGCGTTTGTTTATATTCCGGACTGTATCCCACCTTTAAACAAATACACAAGCAACTCTACACTTGATTCAAAGGTGAAAAATAACTTATTTATTGTCATAGTTAGATTCAATAATACAGTCTAATAACTAAATTTAAATTGTTTTACCATCCAAATTAACAAAAAGAGTTACATCACGTGAAATATTCAATACAAGAATCTTCGTGGAATGCAAAAGAAGAAGTGTTTATTACAACCAACCAAATGTTATACATAACATACCAAATGTTTTGCATTCATTATTCACGTCTACTGACTTCACACATCACCCCGTCTCGTGGAGTAATTGTCAGTCTTTCCAACATTCTGTCAGTCTGACCTGGCAATAGTTTGAATTGAAACTTCCGCAATAATTTTGCAAGAATAACTTTTAACTCAAACTTTGCAAACATCTGTCCGATGCAACTACGCGGGCCAAAGGAAAAGGGAAAATGGGTCGTGCTGAAATTTAGAATATTCTCAGTATCGCAAAAACGCTCTGGCTCAAAGACCTCAGGATCCTTCCAAATTGCAGCGTTCATTCCAAAAAACAGCGCAGAAGTGTGAATTGAATTTCCTTTTGGAATGATATAACCGCCAACTGTGATGTCCTCCGTCGACACCATTGCTGGTGATTGAATCGGTATGGGGTGTTTTCTTAGGCTTTCCTCTAAAACGTGACCAAGATATTTCAATTTTGTCAAATCGTTAAACTCAACATAATCACGTTCCCCAAGCACCTGGTCCAGCTCATTCAAAAGTTTCTCCTGAACATGAGGATTTGCGATGATTTCATACAAGGCAAATCCCAGAGAACTCGCAGTTGTTTCCTGTCCGGCGAGAAAAACGGTCACAAACTCATCAATCATATCATCCATTGACAAACTGCCATCTTTTATTAAAATGCTCAACAAGTCATCTGGAACAGATTTCCCATCAGAAATGTCTTTCATTCGAGTTTTGATACAATCCGAGGCAAACATTCTGAGAAATCGAGCTGCAGCAATTTCCTTTTTTTTGGTGGCATTCTGGAAAGGCTTGAATTGAAATATTCCAAGAAGGGTTGAACTGAGAGGGATTTTGTAAATATCCTGCATACCACTGAAGTAGTCCCTTACTGCTGCTGGAAAGGGGGAATTTGAGTCTTCAATAGCATTGGTTTTGATGTTAAAAGATACTAGACTTATAGTGTCCAAGGTTACTTTCGCAAATTCCTCCACCATACTCGTCGGCTGGCCACCATCGACAACTGAATCCATCCGGATCATAAACATATCAGAGACATCATTGAAATTACTGATGAACTCTTTAAGGCACTTGCGATGAAATGCGGGATTCATAATTTGCCGATGTTTGCGCCAGGATTCTTTGTTTGTGTTGCTTACTAAACCATAACCAACTCCTCTCTCGCCATAAACAAAACCAATTTTGTCGTACAAGAAGGGACTCTTATGTAGGCTGTTGTAATTGTCTATGAAAACATGTCGCAAATACGTCGCATCCGCCAAGAAGACAATAGGCATGTGTAGAAAATGTAAGACAAATATCGGTCCGTATTCAAGTCCTATTTTCACCAGGAATTCGTTTTGTGTTCGGCCTGTTGCAGTTTGGTATCTCTGAATATCAGGAAGATGACCAAATATGAAGCTTGAACGAGGTGGCCCCGGCAAATGATCGTTGATTTTGTGAATGTAATACAAATATGCCACAGAAAAGAGAACGAAGCCGAGACATCCAACCAAGACTGCGCCGAACGTGTACGATAATAAACTCAAAACAGAGAAAGCCATTCTATGTATTCGTAAGCATTCCACGGGCTAAATTTTCAAGCAAAATGCGAAATATTTCGCGTGCTTCTTTTGAATTGTTAGCGACGAAGCTGTGACCCTTTGTGCCACTATTGTGCAATATTGAATCATTTGAATGTTACGGTTTGATTTCCACTTACAGCGAAATCGTTCACTAGCGAAATATTTGCATATTTTCTTTTGAATTTTGAAAGCATAAATAAAACAGTGCGACTTGACTGTTCTCAATTCAAAGGAAAATATGCAAATATTTCGCTAGCGAACGATTTCGCTGTAAGTGGATTCTGCCCTTAGGGTTCAGTCAAGTGTTTATAAGTACGTAATTCAATCCGATGCGATGGTAAAAAAGAGTTCAAAGTGACAAAGTTATCAGTTGAACAATCTTTATACATATTAGGGGTCTTTACGAAGAAATGGATAAAATATTTGAATTAGATCTCAATTAAGAGGAGAAAGAGAGATTTTGACTTCGGTTTAGTCTAAAAAAACTCGATTTTGGCTTTAATTCTGCATTGGTTTGAATGACCAGGTCATTCTGTTTATGTCGCTTACTAAGGCCCTGTTTATATGAGAGGCGAGACGGGACGTTTGCCGGGACGGGACGATGACCGGGATCTCGCCATGTATATGTTTGTATAATATTTTTCCTGCTGTGTTTATATGAAGGCGGGACGTTTTTTGTCCCGTCCCGCCTAGGCGGGATCCCGCTTTGAGCAACCAGGATCCCGCTTTAAGCGGGACGTTTTTTGTCATATAAACGCTCCATCCCGCTTTGATCGGGACAATATTACGCTGACATTGCACTATTTGATTATTGTCACGCGTCATCCAAACAGACAAAGTTCCAATATGGCCATTTTCAATGATTTTCATAAACTTCCCGGGTATTCTCGCGAGAAAACATCCCGTATAAAACAATCATGTAAACGCGAGATGGAAAAACGTCCCGTCCCGGCAAACGTCCGGTCTCGCCTCTCATATAAACAGGGCCTAAATATTCCTGTTAAACGCTGGGCCTCAGAATGTAAATCAAAAACCGTCGCACGCTCTTGGTTGGCAGATTAAGACTGTAAAGGAAGGACGACTTACGGATGAAATCAGTTTAAATATTGTAAGGAAAGAGTACGGGGCAAATTTACAAACGAACAATGTTCAATTTGCAATGTCGTTTGGGATGTTAATTGAGATAGTATGACACTGGATTTGTACATTTGAAACGTTGGTGTTCCAAGGATGATATATATAGTCAGTCACTCGCTGCAGATTTGTATTTTGGCATTTAACCATAGTTACCCGAAAATGTGTTTTGTAACAGCATTAAATCATTCAGTTAGCATATTGATCCATCACAATTAGTATAAATGATTAATATTATCCAATAGTATTAAAACATGATTGATCCAGTTAGATTTCATGCACGACTGTCAATCATGTTTTATTGTTTTTATTGAGCTAATCAAAGGAAGTTAACATGCATGGTAAAAAACAAGGGTAACGGATAACCGGATAAAATATTTATTAAAACCAACCATATATTAATTAAAAAGAAAGGTGTTTTTGCGTAAGCTCTTGTAATGGTCGATGAAAACTTCCTCTTAAATAAGTCGCATCCGCCAAGAACACGAAAGGCAAGTGTAGAAAATGTAATACAAATATCGGTCCGTATTCAAGTCGTATTTTTAGCAGAAATTCGTTCAGTGTTCTCCCTGTGTATGAATATAAACCATGATAAATCTTGTCTAAGAAAATATTAGGCTTTAACAGCCACTCCAGTGGTTGTTAAATATCTTATTTTGTATCAGAGCCTGCCTGAACCCTTGCCAGATCAGGCAGATTAAACCAATATAAAGTGACTACAGGCTATAGCCTGTACTATAGTATACTATAGTATATCTTGATCAGCTAAAGATATACAGTCTGCCACATACCCACAAACTTATAAATTGCACTCTACTAAACGTTTGGCCAACCATTGCAACCAACGCTAATCTGCATGGCTACCAACTTTGTGATATGTCATCTATAGCATTGTCTGGGTATGGTTCAGGCATTTATTAATGTGTTAAAAGTAAAAAACCTTTTAGCTCATCACTTCTGAAGATGAAGGACAACAAGAAGAAAATACACGGGAGTTGTACTGACTACATAAATGATTCCACGCACAACGACACCATTCAGATTTTGTTGCTCACCTGCATGTTTTGGGAAGGCCGTTATTCGCTGAATTTTCAATATGAATATTAATTTTCGTGAGAATAAATGATCAGTAGAAAAAAGCTCAGTAAAATTTATATCTACTATTCGATATTAGCTCACAACTCGCATTGGAAGTGAAAATAAAAGCAATATTGTTATTGAATTCTGAAGATTTACTTTAAACTTTCAAAGTGAACAAGTTCTTTTATTGAAAACTTACAAAGACCTTATTTAAAAATATTATAATCATTCACAGCGGAAGATCGTTAAAGTGGGCGGCCAATTAGCCAATATTCCATAGATACATGTTAACTGATCGTAAAAACAATCAAATAGAAAACTAGGAACTAGTAATAATGCTGAAAGTGAATATATGAATATCAGTCTCCATTTAAAGAACTTTCGTTCAATCACAAAGTCTAATAAGTAAATTTGCATTGTTTTATTATCCAACCTAAACTTTTTAGTCTTTCTAGAAATTTACGCCACTATAACTAATTTATATAGATTTAATACGTGGAATATTCAATACACCAATCTTTGTGGAATGCGAAAGAAAAGGTGTTTATTACAAGAGGTTAACATACCCATTGTTTTCCACCATTATTCACGTCTGCTGACTTCACACATCACACCGTCTCGTGGAGTAATTGTCAGTCTTTCCAACATTCTGTCAGTCTGACCTGGCAATAGTTTGAATTGAAACTTCCGCAATAGTTTTGCAAGAAAAACTTTTGACTCAAACTTTGCAAACATCTGTCCGAGGCAACTATGCTGGCCAAAGGAAAAGGGGAAATGGGTCGTGCTGAAATTTGGAATGTTCTCAGTATTGGAAAAAAGATTTTTGGGTCCTTCCAAATTTCAGGGTTCATTCCAAAAAGTATCCCACTTGTGTGAATAAAATCCCCTTTTGGAACAATATAACCACCAATGGTGATGTCTTCTGTCGACACCATTCCTGGTACTTGTGCCGTTACAGGGTGTTTTCTCAAGTTTTCCTCCAAAACCTGCCCAAGATATGTCAACTTTGCCAAATCACTAAACTCAACATAATCACGCCCAGCAAGAACAGTGTCCAGCTCGTTCAAAAGTTTCTCCTCAACATGGGGATTATTGATGATTTCATACAAGGTAAAAGACAATGAATTAGCAGTTGTCTCTTGTCCAGCGAGAAAAATGGTTACAAATTCGTCAATTATATCATCCATTGACAAACTGCCATCTTTTATTAAAATGCTTAACAAGTCATCTGGAACAGCTTTCCCATCACCAATGTCTTTTATTCGAGTTTTGATACAATCCGAGGCAAACATTCTGAGAAATCGAGCTGCAGCAATTTGCTTTCTTTTGGTGGCATTCTGGAAAAGCTTGAACTGGAATATTCCCAGAAGAGTGGGGCTGAAAGGGTTGTCGAGATTGTCTTGCACGCCACTGAGGTAATCCTTTACTGCTGCTGAAAAGGGGGAATTTGTGTCCTCAAGAGCATGGGTATTAATACTGAATGACACTTGACTTATAACTTCCAGAGTTACTTTGCCAAATTCTTGTACCATACTGGTCGGCTGGCCACCATCGACAATTGTATCCATCCGTGTTGAAAACAGATCAGAGACATAATTGAAATTACTGACAAATTCTTTAAGGCTCTTACGATAAAATGCGGGATTCATAATTTGCCGATGTTTGCGCCAGAATTCTTCGTTTGTGCTGGTCAATAAGCCACAACCAGCTCCTCTCTCGCCATAAACAAAACCAGCTTTACTGTAAAGGAAGGGACTTCTATGCAGGCTCTTGTAATTGTCGATGAAAACATGTCGCAAATACGTCGCATCCGCCAAGAACACGAAAGGCAAATGTAGAAAATGTAAGACAAATATCGGTCCGTATTCAAGTCGTATTTTCAGCAGAAATTCGCTCATTGTTCTGCCTGTTGAGGTTTTGTATCTCTCAATATCAAGAAGATGACCAAAGATGAAACTCGAACGTGGTGGCCCTGGCAAATGATCGTTGATTTTGTGAACATAATACAAATATGCCACAGAGAAGACAGCGAACCCAAGACATGCAATCAGGATTGCAGAGAAAATGTACAATAACAAACTCAAAACTGAGACTGCCATTATAAATAGGACTACGGTATCGCGGTCTTTCGCAAGAGACTTGATAGAAACTAACACGCGAAACTGTTTACGTGTTCGAAAGGAACAGAGAATGGATTTTGTGCATCAATACACATTACTATATTGACTTTGTCATACATTGAACAAAGACAATCATCATAAATTGTCTTACTTGAACATAAGTGTTAAGAAAAATTAACAAGAAAGGGTTGTAAAATCATATTATACGATGTGTTGGTGAATAACTCGGAATATTCAAGCAATACATGTTATTACAAATGCACAGAATTGCAATAAAATGCAATGCACTAAAACTGTGGACATTCGTGCAGAATCATTTCGCAAATTGCATATTAATAATAATTAGTATACTATGCAATTATTATCATTATTTTTGACTTGATAAAAGAAATATTGGTTTTAGCATAGTTACAAAGAACGACCTATTTAAAGATAACATTGTCATTGCCTTTGGCGATATACTTGATTGGTTGAAATGGATTGAATACGAGTACATTCGAGTACATTCGAGTTCATTACGAGTACATTCATTACGAGTACATTCGTTTTATTTTACTATGACTACAGCCTTACAGGGTGTATAAAAAGAACGCGACATAATTCCCAGAGGCCTGCAGTTTTTTGTTATTGAATAGAAGCGCGCATATATGAATATATATGCATGTTTGCAGTTTTTTATACATCCTTTAGACTTGTCCTTAATCAAGACCATCCTTGTTCTCAGAGACAAGACATGCAATATTTTCAATTGAAATATACACTGGCGGTCAAAAAGAACTGCTCAAACGTTGCTATTATCGTATGTAACAGGAATTGTAACAATCAATCTTTTATTGTACACTAGCGGTAAAAAAAAACTGTTTAGATACAAATTCATAAAGAAGAAGCGAATATAGGATAGAGCTTCATAGGCATTTTGGATAATTCTCTTATTCCAAGCAATATTTCAGTAATGTAATGCAACCTGCCACACTTCCAAGATAGTCAAACAATGGTTTCATGGGAAGAGGGAGTGACAGAAATGGATTGGCTGACAGTCAAAAGACCTTAACCCTATTGAAAATCTGTGGGACAATGTCAATGGGATAGTCCAAGAAAGAAATTAACTCATAAAGCGTCCATGATTTATGTGTTGCTGTAAAGACTGTCCATAGGATGAATTTCTTTTGACCACTTAAGATTACCACCTTAACAGAAAGTATGCCACGCCGGTATAAGGCCGTCATCAATTATAAGGCCAAAGGAGGGTCAACAAAATATCAATATTTCATATAGCTTAGCATGTAATCTAGTCTATATTTACTCGTATATATTGTTAGAGGGACAGTTACGTTCATTTGAGAGCATTTTAACTTGTTTTGAGCGGTTTTTTTTGACCGCCAGTGTATTTGCCTAAGGCTAAGCGTAGAAATCCCAAGAATTAATTCCTCACTCCAGTTACGCTCTGAGTTCAGTGACGTCATACTGATCCTGAAGCTCAAGCCTTAGACCCACTTATGACGACGTCGCTGAATTCACAGCGCAACAGAGTGAGAAAATGTAAAGGCTCGAATTAAATTTTTTCAAATATTTATTGAGATTTCTATGTCCAAGCGTACATTATGTGCTAATGTCAATCAGACCCGCATCCCGGTTGGCCTTGCATGGGGTCTGGTTCGGGCATTTATTAATGTGTGAAAAGTGAAAAACCTTTTAGCTCATCACTTCTGAAGATGGACAAGAAGAAAATACACAGGAGTTGTACTGACTACATAAATAGGGACCTTAAGCATATTGGACGGAAACACGACCACGACGCGGCTGAAATTCTCCTTTAAATAAATGCTTAAGCAAAGTGGTTGTTGCATATTATTATTTGTACCGATTTAGTGAGATATAAGGCGTTAAAAACATTGTGTTTATGTTTAAGGACAATTCTATAGAGCCTAATTCGAGGTAGGGATCGCTGGGTCGTGAAATTCAACCGTTCTAGGCACGACGTAAATAACGACGTTTTCCCGTTTTAAACATAACGAAGACGACGTCTAAAACCCATCATGGGGTCTTTAATTATTCATTTCTTTTCAATGAGCCATTGTATTGATAGCCGTCGTCGTCGCATTCGCGTCCTATACATGCTTAAAGGCTAATTTCCACTCCGGAAAACGAGCAGCGGATCGGATCGGATTTTTTTCCGAGCTGGTCCGATCCATGAAGTGATTTCGGATCGGATAAAAAAAGTTAAAAACTATTTGAACTTTTTTTTATCCTGTCTCGGACGCTTTCGGATCAATATAAGCCAAAAATTTCAACAGACGGCGCACGCGCGGATTATCTTTCGTTCCGATCCGATCCGCTGCTCGTTTTCCGGAGTGGAAATTAGCCTAAAGGTCCCTAATGATTCCACGCACAACGAAAACATATCAGATTTCGTTGTTCGTTCACCTGCATGTTTTCGAAAGGCCGTTATTCGCTGAATTTTCAATATTAATATTAATTTTCGTGAGAATAAATTATCAATAGCAAAAAGCTGAGTAAAATTTATATCTACTATATATAGATATCAGCTCACAACTCCCACGAAAGTGAATACGAAAGCAATAATGTTATTGAAGTCTGACGATTTATTTAAAAGTTTAAAAGTGAATAAGTTCTTTTAATGAAAACTGGTTACAAACTGACCTTATTTAATAATATCATAGTCATTCACACCGGAAGATCGTTAAAGTGGGGGGCTAGCTAATATTACATAGATACATGTTAGCTGACCGTAAAAACAATCAATTAGAAACTAGGAACTAATAATAATGCTGAAAGTGAATATATGAATATTAGGCATAGGTTATACGTCGCATTTTGGTCGCGTTGAATGTAATTTAAACAATAGATAATGAGATGATAATGAAGCTTAATAAGCTTGATGAAGCTTAATGAAGCTTAATTAATGAAGCTTAATAAGCTTAATACCATCTCTATCTATTGTTAGAATTGCATTCGACGCGACCAAAATGCAACGTATAACCTAGGTCTTAATCACACATTTAACGATTTCGCCGTCTATGATGATTCAATCACAACGTCCAATAAGTAAATTTGCATTGTTTTATCATCCAACCTAAACTAAGTCTTTCTAGAGAGTTACACCACTATAACTAATTTATATAGATTTAATACGCGGAATATTCAATAAACCAATCTTTGTGGAGTGCAAAAGAAGAAGTGTTTATTACAAGAGGTTAACATACCAAATGTTTTGCATTCATTATTCACGTCTGCTGACTTCACACATGACACCGTCTCGTGGAGTAATTGTCAGTCTTTCCAAAATTCTGTCAGTCTGACCTGGCAATAGTTTGAATTGAAACTTCCGCAATAATTTTGCAAGAATAACTTTTGACTCAAACTTTGCAAACATCTGTCCGATGCAACTATGCTGGCCAAAGGAAAAGGGGAAATGGGTCGTGCTGAAATTTGGAATGTTCTCAGTATTGGAGAAACGCTCTGGCTCAAAGACCTCAGGGTCCTTCCAAATTTCAGGGTTCATTCCAAAAAGTATCCCACTTGTGTGAATGAAATCCCCTTTTGGAACAATATAACCACCAATGGTGACGTCTTCTGTCGACACCATTCCTGGCAATTGTGCCGTTATTGGGTGTTTTCGTGAGTTTTCCTCTAAAACCTGACCAAGATACGTCAATTTCGCTAAATCATCAAACTCAACATAATCACGTCCAGCAAGAACAGTGTCCAGCTCGTTCAAAAGTTCCTCCTCAACATGGGGATTGCTAATGATTTCGTACAAGGCAAAAGACAAAGAATTAGCAGTTGTCTCTTGTCCAGCGAGAAAAATGGTTACAAATTCGTCAATTATATCCTCCATTGACAAACTGCCATCTTTTATTAAAATACTCAACAAGTCGTCTGGAACAGCTTTCCCATTAGCAATGTCTTTCATTCGAGTTTTAATACAATCCGAGGCAAACATTCTGAGAAATCGAGCTGCAGCAATTTGCTTTCTTTTGATGGCATTCTGGAAAAGCTTGAACTGGAATATTCCCAGAAGGGTGTGGCTGACGGGGATGTTGAAATTGTCCTGCACGCCACTGAGGTAATCCTTTACTGCTGCTGGAAAGGGGGAATTTGAGTCTTCAAGAGCATGCGTATTAAAATTGAATGACACTTGACTTGTAACTTCCAGAGTTACTTTGCCAAATTCTTGTACCATACTGGTCGGCTGGCCACCATCGACAATTGTATCCATCCGTGTTGAAAACAGATCAGAGACATAATTGAAATTACTGACAAATTCTTTAAGGCTCTTACGATGAAATGCTGGATTCATAATTTGCCGATGTTTGCGCCAGGATTCTTCGTTTGTGCTGGTCAATAAGCCACAACCAGCTCCTCTCTCGCCATAAACAAAACCAGCTTTACTGTAAAGGAAGGGACTTCTATGCAGGCTCTTGTAATTGTCGATGAAAACATGTCGCAAATACGTCGCATCTGCCAAGAACACGAAAGTCAAGTGTAGAAAATGTAAGACAAATATCGGTCCGTATTCAAGTCGTATTTTCAGCAGAAATTCGCTCATTGTTCTGCCTGTTGAGGTTTTGTATCTCTCAATATCAAGAAGATGACCAAAGATGAAACTCGAACGTGGTGGCCCTGGCAAATGATCGTTGATTTTGTGAACATAATACAAATATGCCGCAGCAAAGACAGCGAACATAAGACATCCAACCAGGATTGCTGAGAAAATGTACAACAACAAACTCAAAACTGAGACTGCCATTATAAGCAAGATTACGATATCAGACTCGGTCTTTCGTAAGTAACTTGATAGAAACTAACGCGCTAAACTGTTTACGAGTTCGAAAGGAACAACGAATTGATTTTGTGCATCAATACACATCACTACATTGACTTTGTCATACATTAACCGCTTACTTGAACATAAGTGTTTAACAAAATTAACGAGAAAAGGTTGCAAAATCATATTATACGATGTATTTGTGAATAACTCGGAATATTCAAGCAATACAGTATATACAGTGTTACAAAATGCACAGAATTGCAATAAAATGCAATGCAATAAAAGTGTAGAAATACATTCGTGCAGAATCATTTCGTCATTTGCATATTAATAAACAGTATACTATGCAAAGATCATTATTTTTGACTGAATAAAAAAAATATTGGTGTTAGCATAGTTACAAAGATCGAATTACTTTGCGATATACTTGATTGGTTCCAATTTAAAAAAACGCTGTTATTTCATTGCGGGTTTATTCGTTTTGTTTCACTATAACTAGAATGGTCCTTAGGCTTAGTCAAGAGACATGATATTTTCAATTGAAATATTTTCCCCGAAAAAACGTAGGAATATTCTTCCCAAGAAATGTGTGCTTGAAATGCAACACACCACGCAAACTTGTGCAACCATTAAAGTGTTGCTATTAATAGATGTACAGTATTAATTATACAGATATGTTATGTGTTGTCTGTATACAAGGGCCTATAGTAATTGGTTTTATGCTGTTGTGGTGTCCCCGCCTTTTGTTACTGTCACCTTTCTATCCAACCTTAAAACGTGGAGGCTAGTCATACTGATGAATTCCACAAGTTTGACAAGGTTTACGTCAAGTTCTGAGCAATTTTTCGTATTTCTCAACTCATAAAATTCACGTTATTAATATCAATTGTAATTAAACCGTCCAAAGACAGCGTTCAAGAGTGCATATTTTTTGGTTTTTCACCACTGAGACATCGACAAATGTCTGACGTTTACACGTTTTGGGGCAGGACAGAAATGGTTGTGTGTATGTGTTGTTGATTGTGTAATTATAGGCGAAGATAAATAAATAAATAAATATTTAAAAGAATTAAATCCCCCCACTCCAGTTGATTGGTTGAGAGTACAGTTAGCCATGAATAATCATATTGCTGCACAACATGTAGATGGATTGGGTACGAGGTACGGAGTACGACCTGTCACGAGCTGTATATGAAAATGTCGTTTTATAGATATCTTACAGAAAAATTCGTGGGGAAAAAATGAATTATCACCTCACGAGCGCAGGTTGATATCCACGCATGAACACAAAAAAATAAGAAGGGGTCTTTTAATATAAAACTCGACGAATACAAATTTAAATATTATCGTATGAGCGAAAGTATTATTAACATTGGTAATAAAATAGCAAATACGGGGTTGAATAGCATGAGGATGATTGTGACAAAATCTCTTCCATGTCCTTAGCACTGATCTCTTGAACTTCAGCGTCGTCGAATTTCAACCAGGTCGAAGTGGATATTGGCCTTTCAGAACTATCAATGTTACTTTGGATGGAGCAATCTTCATATTGGAAGCTTTTGCCATCTGAGACTGGGGTAAAACCCTGTGAGTTTGAAGGCTGCGAGTTGCTCGAGTTTTGAGTATTATTTCTATAGGTACCTTTGTCGTTTGCTGTTTCATTTGAATAAGCATTATTCGGTACGGAATAGTGTTTAATATCAGCGCTGGTTATTGCTTGGTCCTGCAACGTTGCCACCCCTGTGTCTACTTTTACAAATTCATCTGCAGATGGGCTATCATTGGAACACAGTTCATCACATGGTTCAATTTGGGCGGATGACTTCGTGAAAGACTTTGAGTCAGAACCACACGTAGGCAAGTCGTCATTATTTGAAGTTTGTCCGCATGAACTTGTCGGTTCACACGAAGATCTAACTTTTGGAGACAAGTCATTTTTCTTTATGGTATCAAAGGCCGAATCGTGAGACATCTGAAAGCTGGTGGATGTTGAACAGTCGACAGAATCTGTCGGTTGGGAATCATTTCCACCTTCTTGTCCAGAAGACTGACTCGATCTTGTGTCTAAAGGTGCATGATTGCTTTCAGGTGTACAGCTTTGATCAGAAATTTCTACATTCACGCGAGATTTGGTTTTACAACTTCCCGACTTCGGTATTGGTTTAAAAAATCTGGTAATGTCCATACTACAAGGTATACGAGTAAAACTAGCAGAGGCTGCTTCCTCCTCATCTGAGGAATTGCCCGAACCTCCGCCGTCCTTTGCGTCCCGCCCGCTATGAATTCCTTTTCCTTTGAATTTAACGTCCTTCCCAAGAACATCGTTAATATTAGCTCTTCTTGGAATTTGATTCTGTTTTGAAGTATCTTTTAATGGTTCTAGGTTTGTGTCCTCGTTATCAACTTCCATCCCTACACGTTTCTCACAGCACAAATCTTCGCTTTCCCCACGTCCATTCTTCAAGTTACTTTGGCCATCAAAAGTAGTTTTTTCATCGCACATGCCCCCGGAAGAATTGCTTTCACAATCTCGTGCCTTGCACGCGTGGCTCTTGCTCACCTCATCATTAGCCTTGCTATCAATGTTTGTAACCTTGGTAGCACTGCTTTGAGTTGATCCACATTTAACCCTTTGGTTTCGGCGATATTTGTGACCATTCATACTTGGAACTTCAGTGCTGTAACATTGGTCGATTGTGGATAAACAACTGTCATCTACTTCCATTGCATGGCCACTATTTCTCACTACTTCACATTGTACCGCACCGGAACATTCTTCCGCATTAACCTTCCCCCTACCGTCAGCATTCTTCTTGAAAATATCAACATTGACATAGCTCAGATAATGGCCACTGCAAGAGGACATTCCATTGTGCATGACAACACCAAACAAGCGGTAGACTGCATCCTTCTCTGAGCAAGTTTCACTGCACCATTTCTTTAAAGAGAGTTGTTGTGGTGTGTGCAAGCTTCTCGTAACCTTGGTCACCCAGCTGTTGGTGTAGAGATTTTGGTTACTAAAAAGAAGATGGATCCATGGAAATGAATCAATTTAAATGAAGAGATCACATGACCATGTTAAATGTCATGAAGAACGCGGCATTTACGCCAACATTTTTGTGCTAGCCTGGTATCGGTTGCGCTCATGACTAGTCGGTAAGCTCATCGATTTATGCCATTCATGTTTTCTCAATCGTAGTGGTAGTGGCAGTAGTAGTAGAAACCTGAAACTCGCTAATAACAGCACGAAGAGGTAGTAGAGGTGGACAGTAGTTATATAAACAATGACTGATAAACTGACTTACCCGTAAGAAGTTTGAAACCGTTTCAAATGAATTGTAAGCACTCTTGGAAGCTTCTCAAAATACGTACTGATATCAGCTTCTGTCAAAGTTGCACAATTATCACAGAAGTACTTGTTATCACCGTTTAATCGTTCAACTGAAGCAAACTTTGATATCGCCCAGGACAAGTTTATCTCTCGATCGGACTCGTCTTCGGAATCAGAAAGGCTGTTTCCATGTTCCCAATCACTGCTTGATTTCTTCTTGTTCTGAACTGGCACACTTATATCTTGAAAATTCTCGTGACGTTGACGAATTCCTTCGCATGTTAAACAGCATGTTTGCAACAACAGGGTTCCTTCAAATAAGCGCTTTACAAGGTTTACACTTTCCGAAGAGGTTGGTTTACAATTTGCAAGTGACTTGGGTGTTGCTGTGTAAAGATTAGTTTTGATTAAACCATCGTTCCACCCTTCGTCACAGTTAGGTTGTGAACTGGTCGATATATCAGTAGTCATGGCCATGGTAGGTAATTCCTCGGTTTTTATAACACCATTAATGATGGTACTTGGATATTTACAACCTCCACGGACTTTGGAATCATTGTTGTTAGCTAGGTTGGTACCAACTTTCACAATCCCTTGTTGCTCACCCTTTACTAAACCAACACATTCATCCTCAACTAGACCAAGAAACGACCGTAAAAATTCCTGAGCGTCGTGCTGTTGATAGCCACTGAATAGTGGACACAGACCACTAGATTGAAAAAAAGTCGTTCAAGATTACTATTCAAAATCAAAAAAGCAATATTTTCTGTGTCATTTAATCAGTATACTTTCAAACACGTTTGTTCTATCTAGATTGAAAAAAAGTCGTTCAAGATTACTATTCAAAATCAAAAAAGCGATATTTTCTGTGTCATTTAATACACTTTCAAACACGTTTGTATTATCAAACCCTGTTTAGACTTGGTTTTCTTCATCTTGCGTGTAAGCTTCTGACCATTCAGTAATAAAAAGTGGCTTTTGTACATCAGTTTCGCTCATAACAAAGGATATTTTGATTTAAAAATGTTCTAATCCATAAATTTCCAAACATCGAGTCACATTACATTGATAAAGAAATACATTTAGAACTTCCAAAATCCAAAACAGTGCAATTCGAAATGTAAACCAACACACAAAGCATTTCTCACCATTTTTGACATTATTTAAACGAAAATACAGCTAGCAAGATTTGAATAATCTAAAATAATATCTCCAATTTCAAAACCCTCTGCTTTTCAACCAAAAAGAAAGTTACTCTAATTTGTTTCGACATCCTGATCAATGAACAGCTAACACACATAAAACTGCCCTCGAGACATTTAAACAAAAACATTGTAGACAAGTAACAAGCACAATGCCATAAACACCTAGCTTTTGAGAAATGGTAAAAATGGCATTTCTAAAATGGTTTATTGAGTCCATAATGTGACTAACCTGAAATCCCTGACAAAATCTTGAGGACGAACAGCAAGAGTGGTCCATCCTGAACGGTTCTTTACTTCATTTGCTTCCAAACCAAACTTGCCATAGTTTTCCTCAGCCTTTTTCATTGCACTTGTAAGCTAAGAAAGAAAAAAGGAAATCTTGGGAACTTAATCACTGTGTTGGTCAGAGCAACTAAAACCATTAAAGAAAAATTATTTTTAACTTAATTGCTGACCTTATGTATACTGTGGATAATGCTTGGTCTACTTGAAGGTAACAAATCCTCACCCAATAAGTTGTCTCCTTCACTTGTCTAAAAGTAACAAAAGAATGTTAAAATTAAGACAATATGCAAATGACATTTCAATAGTAACATTATGCTCTTTCTCATAACGAGAGCAAGAAGCAAAAGTCTATGTAACACAAGGTTCAATTGACTTGTTAGTTTTTTTGTGCATTATTTGCATTCTGTCTTCGATGTCATTATGAGAAAGGCCTATAATAATTATACTAAGGAAAAAGTTAATTTAAGATATTAAATTAAAGATATTAATTAACACTAAATGCAAGGGATTATAACAAGGCCAAAAACATCATCACGATTCATCAGGAGCATGTTCTGATTGGTCATAATGCTTGCTAACAGATACAGTTTTTGTATAAACTAACTGTTGGCATAACATATGCATTAAAATTATAGCAATATACATAAACCATTGTATTTATTTTACTATTCTACACGCATAGTCCACTTGGAATCTTGGATATGCATGGTAAGTATGCCCAAAACATGGTAAACCATTCATAACTAAATTTTGCTGGTGTACATGAACCTAAGGTCAAATTGCAAAGCTATATTCACTAGAGGACAATATTTACTTATTATCGCTATAATAACTCAAAACTGAAAAAAATGTCAACCAAAACCTTAATCTTAAACCACTTTTACACCTATTTTGCTTTGTACATATTGTACAAAACATCCACTCACCTATGTTCACGAGTTTAAAATAATATACTGTGACCCCTAGTATTAAAAACCCCTTAAATCATCTCGTAAAGAACGGAACTCCTCAATGAAAAGCACAAGTTACTTGACAAATAGTTCTTTGACTATATTTATACACTCACCACGTTAGCATCCATTGCACAATTTTGAGCGCATATTTCATCCAAATTTGCAAGTGATGTCAAAAATTCTGGACAAAACCTCAAAACTTGCAAGACAGCGTTGAGGTAGCAAGTATTTCCGAGGTTTGTAAGGCCCGTATAAGGCAACGGTGGTGTGACAGTTTCGACTTGAAATCCAAATGTAGTATTCGCTTCTGTCAAGTCATTTGTTGACTTTTCCACAGGCGAACTTACAGGCCTTTTGCTCTCAGAATTCATCGTGGAATCCCCGTTTTCTTTCATGCTTTCACCCTCGCTGTCGCTTTCCATCGGATTCTTTGGCTTAGGCTTCTTTTTCGCCTTTAACTTTAGCGAAAATTTGAATTTCTTTCTTGGCGGGCTTTCGACAGCAGGAGGACTTCGCGCTTGACACGTTGTAAGCATGGACATAATTTACGCTACAAAAAGCTTCAAATCTTTAATGAAATTACGCCAAATGCCTCTTCGAGAAGTTGAATTTCTTATATGTCGTCGATTTCCAGGTTTTCTGCGCCAGAATTAGCTCACAAACGCGTGAAAATTTTAAGTTCATTGACCATTCTTCCCGCCATAAACAACAGCGACCCGATTATTCACCGACCGCATGGTTCAGGGAAATATCGGGGTAAATGGGAATGATTGGGAATAAAGATGTATAAAAAGAAAGGTAGATTGAGGATGATATGAGGATCGCAGGAGATATTTTAAGTCACGAACGCGCAATTTTCAATACTTTTAAAAACAATTTCGAAAATATTTTTAAATTGGCAATGGTAGATTATTCGATTAAAAAGATCAGCTGGTTTGCTCGATATCGCTTTCATAATGTGGAAAGAAATTCCCTAACCTAAGTATACAAAAGGAGAGAAAATGTTTCAAATAGATTGCTTGTATTTTGTAATAAAAAACGAAAGTGATAAGCCATATTTAGTTATTTACATATTTTCTCATCTCTCACTTTCTGATAATTCGAAAACGGGGCCAAAATGGCTGCTAAATGGCAGCAGGTAAACAGCAGGTGTATATTTTGTTTACATTTTGCGATTGCAATTTCCAAATATAGACTTTAAAAGTGGAAACACCCGCGCAAATTTTCCATCACCCACATGGCGCCAAGTATAAATCATTAGAAGTTTCAAGTTTGTATATTTGGATAAATTTTACAATCTTCTCAATAAAGAAATAAAAACGTTCAGAAAAGAGAGAAAAATGATTGATAATCAAAACAATAATGCGGATTATTTGCTGTCGTGTCCTGCCAATGGAGAGGAAGAAGATACCCAGAGCGCCATTGAGAGGGCCACTTGCTCATACATTGACAAGTCCGAAAGATTTTTGTTACAGGAAAGAAATTTTAACAGGCAATATGCCCAAATTTATTCGGTCCGATTAATGGAAATGAGAAAAATGCTTGCTGCTGCCGCGAGACAGAAGTGGGATCACTGTGATGGCAGGGAAGGTACATGGTACAATCACCTGTGCATATTTGGGGGGAGGGGGCAATGACTGAGGGGAGAGGGTGCAAATCCAGAGCTATGGGAAATAATTTTTGCCCAGGTGAAAGACAATCAGTGCAGCACTGATTGTTTAATTTATATGTGATGTAGTTACAAAGAATACAAATTTAAGTTTCTTTCAGGGGGATGGGGGCAACTGCCCCTGCTGTGCCCTGAATTTTGCCTGTGGTCCTATGCAAGTCTCTTTTTCAGAGTGTTGTAATCATGCTTTGACTGGTACTAGGTAAATTGGACATAAGGAGAACTGTCAACCTAGTGATTGGAGAAAAATGCATCATGATCGGAACTCTGTTTAAAAAGATGGAGTTGAAACCCGTCATACTAAAAGAACTCAGTGTCGAGGTAAGTGATATGTTGATTAGAGAATTCTCAAACCATGAAGGCTAATTGGGGTTCATTAAACTTCCATCTAGAACAATCTGATACCTCAGCCTCCAAGGGTAAAATATATTGATGAAAGTGATGAACTAATCTTGGAAGATGAAGCTCAAAGAGTGAGACTTATTGGAGAGATACCCTTTGAAAAACTAACCACAGGTTATATGCTAAATTGTGAAAAGTTTGTAGGAAAAAAAAGAGTAAATGCAACTGTTTGTTGCCATGACAATTTCTAGGCATAAACATTGCTGTTCTTGGTCATGAAGACAAGGACGGAAAGTTTGTCGTTGAGGATTACTGTCTGAGTGGATTGCCTTATCAGGAAGATATAAAGCTTGATCAAATCTTAATGGATGGTGAGGATAGATTTGTGGCACTAGTAAGTGGCCTGAATTTTGGAGGAGAAAGTCAAGATTGTTTACAACTTCAAATGTTTGTTGATCTATTGACTGGTCAACTTGGAAGCATTCAGGTATGAATTAGCTGGTATATGACTCAAAATACAGCAAAAACAACATTTTGTCAAATGTGTCCAATGTTCCAGTGTTGACTGTTGCTACTAATACTAACCTGACTAGTCTAATACTTTACTCCTTGCAATGAATCATTCAGTGTTTCTTTTCAACTGTCCTAAATATCAGTTGATCATTGCAGTACTGCTAGTCTGACTGAGTGATGGGTAACTGTTGCTACTAGTACTAGCCTGACTAATCTAGTACTTACTGCTTTGCAGTGAATTATTCAGTGTTTTACTTTCAATTAACCTTCCTTAATTTCAGTTGATCATTGCAGTACTGCTAGTTTGACAGATTGTTAACTGTTGGTAGCCACTAATACTAGTCTAGTACTTACTGCTTTGCAATGATTTATATTGTGTTTACCACTTGCAAGTTGCAACCTGTATAAAAAAATTAGGAGTACAAATTAACCACCGCCACAACAATTTCCGTATTCCGATTGTGTGCTGATTGTTGCTACGAATACTAGCCTCAGTATACCTAGTGTCAAGTACTTAGTTTCTACCAAAATAATTCATTTATTGAAATATATCTCTGAATCACAGAATTACTCAGTATCTTTTTTTCCATCTTCATAAAGGATCAGAACAATTACGCCAAAGTTGTCCGAGTTATAATTGCTGGTAACTCTCTCAGTTCTTGTACGAGAAACAAAGAACACGAATCAAAGGTTATTTTATGTTATTTGCAGGAGAAAATTTTGATGGTACCTGTTCTGGCCATCTTCTTTGTTTTTGGCGGGAAAAACTCCGGTCACTGATCTTATATTACACTGAATACATGCAGCAACTACAGTCTCAACCAATCAAAAACGTTGTCCGGCCAAAAATTAAAAGAAAAATGATACATCACGCCGATTCACGCGAGCACCAGGATGTGTCTTTTGAGCAACTGTGTATTTATAATGTTTCGGGCTTCAGTTTTTATCAGGTTCCCTTGGGAGTTCATTAATTCTGCCTTTTAATGAGTATAGTTGAATGATCCAGTTATTCTGATTCCGTAAAAATGTGGTTATTTTGATAGGCAAAATATCTAACTCGTAACACTCAGGCTGCGAGTGTTGAAGCGATGAAAAACCTGGATGATTGTTTGGCCCAGTTAGCAGTAAGTACAACAAGAAACGCTTCATAATTTTCCATACTTACTGCTTTGCAATGATTTACATTGTGTTGACCACTTCTTGTAAACGTAAAATATTCTGCTGAAGATGAATCGATCTTGATTCGAAATATACAGAATAAAATTTGTATCATGCTTTCATTTTTCGGAATTACTTTAATTCTATATGTGCTAAAACTATCAGCTGGTAAAGGATACATACACTTAAACTAAAAGGAAGATCATTTTCACTTTACCTTTCGCCTAACGTCGAAGGACTCTCTTCATTTGCAAGTTTGCAATTCATCACAATGTAAATATTTGAAATTTCAGGCTTGTATGCCAGTTGATATTATGCCTGGAGAGTTTGATCCTTGTAACTACGTGTGGCCACAACAACCACTGCACTCGTGTATGTTTTCACGAGCTAAAGTCTACTCGACATTCAAAAATGTTCCAAACCCTTACGACGCTATGGTAGCTGGAGTGAGGTAACTGGAATCTTGGACTTGCTTCCACTGGATGGAATTCTACTTTGTTTAACGCTGACCACTTTCCGTATTTTCCAGGATACTCGGAACAGACGGTCGAAATATCAATGACATTTACAGATTTACCGGTCAAAACAGCAGGATGGATATTCTCAAGTTAACTTTGGAAGGTGGTCACATTGCCCCTACGGCACCAGATACCTTAGGTAAGAATTCGCTCTAATAGAGATGGGGCATGTCATTTTTGCGAATTGACATCAGTATAAAGGAAAACAATTTTGAATACAATTTTGTTATATCATGTCAAAAGGCAGACGTCCAATTCTCACTCAACTGATTTAAATCTTATGTTGGGAATGCCGTTAGAGGCTATGTTGAACCAACACAATCACAATTATAGTTTAACTTTTAACAATAAAGAGTAAAGTAAAAACACCTCACATTCACTATCGCAATCCCTAATTGATACTCTCAAGTTGAACGTCACTTTCAATCTGTCTTTAATCATCCGAATTCCTTACTTATTATTGTTTCTCATTCAGTGTTAATTATACCTATGACATTTGCATGCATTATGTTAATTATCATATATCCGCACAATTTCCAACATCGTATAGTTTTGATTGACATGCCACAATGGCGGGAAAACAATATAGGGAGATAGCTTTAACCATTTCTACGATTGCAACATTTCCAGGAAGTTACCCGTATTACGATAAAGACCCATTCATTATCAAAGAATGTCCTCACGTTTATTTTGTTGCAAATCAACCAGAGTTTGGCCATGACATCGTTACAGGTCAGTGAACCACCCTTTACCACCGTGATAAAAACCCTATTTATCCCTGATATAAGCGGAGTTCCCAGCGCTCTCCTAAGTGTGCCCTATTAAAATTAATGCATTCTGATTGGGTAACTGAAAATGTAAACAAATTTGCGGATTGAAAACGAAATTTCCTCAGAATACTTCATCATATATATTTTTAGGAACTAAAGGCGGTAAAGTAACAATTGTGATGGTTCCGAGTTTTTCAGAAACAGGTTGCTGTGTGTTGCTAAATCTACGAACTTTGGAATGTCAACCCATCATGTTCTCGTCCAGCTTGGAACACGGAAATAAAGTTGAAGCAATGGAGACTTAGTTGACTTAGAAAACGCAAAAGCTATACGTCATTGTAACTACAACACACTTGTTAGACTGTTGCCACCATTAACGATGCAAATTATGTTAATGTCCCTCATGCAATAGCTATCATTTCCAAAGATATCAAAGTGTCAAAGTTGAAGATTTCGCTTTAAAATAAGATAAGATTGAGTTACGATTTCTGTTCATTTGAAGGAGAAAAGCATGCAATAGCTATCATTTCCAAAGATATCAAAGTGTTTCACTTCAAAATAAGATAAGATTTAGTTAAGATATTTTTTCATTTGAAGGAGAAAAGCATGCAATATATCTTTAAAAAAATCTTTAAACCAAATATAAAGCTATACATATTATTTCAAACCATATAATTATAATGGTTTACATGGAAGTACTGGGTTGCCATATGTTTCGAAAATTTATTTACAGTATTCATAACTAACAAATAGTGACATTTATATTGTACGTAAATATTCTTTATTTATATACTATTATGTTGTTTTTTCTTTCTGTTAATTTCAAAATGTATGTTAATTTATATATAATACTCAGTCGTAAACATAAAATACTAAATGGTTGGATAATAATTTATATTGTTTATATTTAAAACGTACAAAATTTGCTTGCGAATGCTCTGGTTGAAGTAATTTACATTTTTTACAATTCGAGTGATGTGTATCTCTTAATATAATCACGATTTTTCATGAAATAATTATCGGTTATTGCTGCATAACATTTCTGGGTGTAGTGAATACCCATTATATTAGAATATAAATTAATCAGCCCGCTGACAACAAAGATTTAGCAATTACCGTCCAGTTCTCGGGTAAAAGTGGACACCTGCCCTCTCCCATTCCCCTTCAGGAAATCAAATCGTAGACATCAACTCCCGCAGCAGCACCGGTGTGTTTCCGGGCAAGACCTCTGTGCTGTTCGTGGGGTCAAACATTTCCACCATGCTCGGATAGGGAGGGGGTCTACTACACCCACCTACGCAAGGTTTATCACATCTTATAGACATCAGGTAAGACTGCAACCCCCGCGGCCGCACGGCAAGTTTCCATCGGTAATACCTCCTCCCATGTGTTGTTCTTGGGGTCAAAGATCTCCACCGTGCTCAGGTAAGAGGGGCCATCAATCCCTCCGATGGCGTAGAGCTGGCTTCCGTAATTTACCATGCACACCCCGTCCCGACAGGAGTTCATAGCCGCGACCTCTTGCCAAGCGTTCATACGCGGCTCAAACATCTCCACTAAACTTAATCTCGAAATCCCGTCAAAGCCACCTTTAATTATACAAACAAAACGACTATTCGCAACGAATGCCCATATCCGAATGGCCGAATGACCAAGAGGATAAAATGTTCAGGAAGTTGCAGAGTTTTGAAGAGAATTATTGTAAATTGGGGGAAAATTCTTTCAATTGGGGGGCGGATGGTAAGCAAATTTTGTAACAGTTTTTATCGGAGAAATTGATATTTTTCAAGAAAGGTAAAACTTTAGATGGCCAATATACAACCACTAAACTTCGCGAGTTAACTTTTATGCTCCTTCAACAATGGAAAGGTAAAAAGTTTATTTTTTCGATTTGTGCAGTAGGTCTATTAAAAAACAGTGGTGTAAATAATATACCTGCGACGTAGAGTATGCCATCAACAACAGCAGCACCGATGCCCGCTCGAGGTCTGCTCATTGGCGGAACGTATGACCATTTGTTCGTCAGTGGATCGTAACGTTCACAGGAATTCAAGAACGACGTACCGTCATTTCCACCAATCACAAACAGACTGTTGCCCAACTCAGCCACACCTACGGATATAAGAATAGGTACACTCAGGAATGATAACCTAACTGGGGCAATGGAGGAAGCAAGTGAAATCCCATATATTAGTGATTATCGTAACGCGCATTTCCAAGTTTCTGGTTATATTATCTTGCTAAACTATGGTGAATCAGCTTGCGATAATCAAGGCTGAGTTCAACTGTTTGGCGCCAAATTAAAACTTGAACTGGATGATCATGGCTGACTACGATTTTTGGCGCCAATTAAAATTTGCGATGATTTTCGCCGACAGGTCGAGTACGTCCGACTGTTTGGCGCCAAATCAAAACTTGCGATAATCATGGCTGAGTTCGACTGTTTGGCGCCAAATTAAAATTTGCAATGATCATGACTGACAACGACTTTTGGCGTCAAATTAAAACTTACAACTTTACTAGTACTCAGCACCAAATCAAAACTTGCGATAATCATGGCTGAGTTCAACTGTTTGGCGCCAAATTAAAACTTGCGATGATCATGACTGACAACGACGTTTGGCGCGAAATTAAAACTTGCAAGGATCATGCACCGCTGACAGGTCGAGTGCGACTGTTTGGCGCCAAACTAAAACATGCATTGCTCATAGCTGAGCGCGACTGTTTCCCGCCAAATTGGAACTTGCAAATATCTTGAGCGAGTTCGACAATTGAAGACTTGCATACACGGGAAACAACCTCACAAAAGCGATTAGTGAGGTCTGCTGTCTACTGAGATCTCCTGATTCTTAATTACCTGGAAAACTTCGTGTTACGTTCAATGATGCAACGCAGCTCCAACAGTCGACTTGAGGATCATAACGCTCCACCGTCTTCAGACACGTCCGACCGTCATATCCCCCCAGGGCATACAACGCATCCCCAAGTGTACCCACGCCAACACCAGACCTGGAGGTGTTCAACGACTTAGTGTATATCCATCTGTCCAATTCACGATCGTAACGTTCCACGCTGTTCAGTCTTGAGTAACCGTCCGAGCCGCCGACGGCATAGAGAGAGCCGTTTATGACTCCGACCCCAAGTTGCTGACGTGAAGAGTTCAGGGGGGCCGCTCTTTGCCATTTATTGGAGTACATACTAAATGTAAATGAGTAGGTGGGTTTTTACGTGGGTATGTCTATATGGGGGCAAGGGCAGTGGCGTAGCCAGGCTGACGATTTTGTCCCGCTATGTAAATTTCGAGTTATTATAATTATTCATGTCTTTAGAAATCTATTGTTTTCTCAGGCAATGAACACCAAAATATTATCATAGCAGGACAAAAGACAGGATGGCTACACTACTGGGCAAGGGTACCCCCCAAACTAATTGATAAATTGATTCAATTTAGCGTTTTATGAGAGGGGAGCTTGCTAAAACAAGCCATTGCTCTGTAAACCAGGTGATCTGAAATGGCGGGAAAAGACTAGGACTAGTTGTCAAATAAAAATCCATTTCTCGGTTGAAACAACTTAATATCTCGTGAAATATACTCTATTTAGGTTCCAAATTTATATCAGAGCTATAGTTCTTATAACTAAACATAATCACAAAATTTCGAATGGTTCCATCAAGAATAACAAGACATATAATCGATTAAACACTGCAAGATGGATTTCTATTTTCACAAACTTTCTGAGCGCTGATTGGCTGAAATATGAGCGCGAGATCACCTGGAAGAATTATAGATTTAAAAACAATAAGTTGAATTTAAATTTAGTATAAAGAGGATACTGTATTTTTACTTAGTGTGTAGGGGAAGAACAATGTCTTTGCAGTAATGGGATTATCAGAATTAGTAGGGATAGTGAATAGTTTCATTTCAAAATTAACTAAGAATAACAGTGCAACTTCCTAAATCCATTGCAAAACTCTGTTGGATATCCTGTCTGTCCAAAATATTGCATATTGTTTGTTATTGCGATATGGCCCATATGCTGGCATGAGCTTTTAGAAGGAAAGTTTTTTCTTGCCAACCATGTGGTAATGCCTGTGATATCGAAAGTGATATACTTGGAGGGCTATCAACATTTTAAATAGATCTTAAATGTGATAAATTAGTAATTTAACTGATCTCAAAATATTTTAAACTACACAGACTGCAACGTTTTTTTAGTGCAATCCTGCATAAATTGGTTGCAAATGGTTGCATTGTTAATTGTTAACAATTCAACAAACCTTGTAAAATCATCTTTCCCACCTCAAAATTTACTTTATCATAGGCCAAAAAATATTTATGCTACAAACCTATCACAAGATATAAGCAGACCAGTTAGCACTTTGCCATTTTCGGGAGTAAAATACTAAAGTTTATCATTGGAAATTGTTTCAACAGAACGGCCAAGGCAGACAATATTTTTAACAAACTAGGAATATCTTATAGATATTTAGTTACTCAATGACTGTTGGACCTCTCCCACTGAGGTGTAAAATTGCCTGGTATTAAAGAAAATATATCTAAATCAGCCCTCTGGCACTCATTTGCCATGCAATTTAGCCTCATAAATCTTTGTGTAATAGACTTCAATTCTGAATGAATAATATGAATGATGATGGTGTTTCATATCCAAAAAAGTTTCCTGAATATCATACATTTATTACTTACTCTTCCAAAAGATTTCCTTTTTGAAAGCGCCGAAAAATGCGACAATTACAGTCCATAGGGAGACTAATTAGAATTCCACATGATATTTAATTGTAACAAAGTTTCTCATTAGAACAAATTAACCGCATAATTGCGACAATAGCGGAGGAGTATTGTTGCAAAACCCACACAAGTGCGTAAATAAACTCACAGAGCCCTACAATTAAAAACAAACGGGCAACTTACTGATAACATTCAACGCTGTTCGCTATAGTTTCGCCAGCCTCTTTCCCTCCGACGGCGAAAAGCCAGCCTACCGTCGATTTTCGAGGCTTCATCCTCTGATTACGCATTTGTGCCCTTCGATCGGGTACCAAATAATAGTTTTTTGCCTCGTCCAACAAATCTCGGCACGCCATATTCACCCGTATCAAAGGCTCGTTGTCGATTTTCGACAGGAGATAATCCTTTGAGATCAAGGGAAGCCTCACATTTTCTAAAATCTGCGGCAAGAACTTCGACCGTTCGCTGATATTGAAGCTGACCCATTTTAAAACCGATTCATAAACTTCTTCTTCGTAATTTACGTTCAGGTCGTCACTTGAAAGCACTTTTAACAAGAGCTCTCCCGGCAGCAAATTATATTCTTCGGACTTGACCACGTCCTTGAACTTTTGCAGAACAAAGCGGTCCACGGATTCAAGAAAATTCGTACAGCCGTGAGCCTCGACAAACTTGCGAATACCCAAACAGTTCGTCGGGTCCAGCTGCGTCTCTAGAAATTTACAACACAATTCACCGACTTCGTGAAATTGTATCAGCGAGCTTGTCGCTAGCAAAGCCTGAACATTCTCAACGTTGATGTTTATTCTACCGGTGTAAGCGAACTCGACAAGGTTCTCCAAGATATCGGGATGAATATCTTGCATTGCGACAACCCTTGCTCGACTCTCGGCAAGTTCGCCCGAAAACATGGCGTAGAAGTACGGTGAGCAAGCCGCCAAAACGGCGCGATGGGTCGTTATGTCGCGACCGGCGACTCTTAAAACTACATCACATAGCTTCTCCTTTTCTCGTCGATGTCTGTTCATAAGAGAAAGCACTCGCGTAGCGTGAGAGCACACTGTATGAGACATAAATGGACTTTCAGTTTTGAAAATCATGTTCACTCCGGCCATGTTGTCATGCCAATGAATGAGCTCCTCAGCTCCTCGAATTTACGATTACGTAATTACTTCTCGTACAAAAGCGGTCCCACTGCATGAAAAGCGCCGTATTCTAAGGTATTCACATGTGAATACGGGTGTGAATAAAACACATATTGCAAGCGTATTCCGACATGGAATATTAGTGTGAATACGGCATCGTATTCTTCAGTATTCTAAGTGTGAATACGCCATGAATATGCCGCGTATTCTGAACAATATTCACACTTGGAATATCTCACTTCTCACTTAATCCGTGTTTCCACAAAATAAATTCATCAGCTGACATTTTTAAACTTTATTTTGAATGCTGAAAAATTGAAGTGGAATTTTATAAATAATTTGGCGCAAAAACCAAAAAGCGCGCTTTCGAGTTTAATAAACATTGAACGAGGAGATCGTGCGTTTGTGGCTGTAAGAAATCTTTTTGGCGCTTATAAATAAGGGAAGAGAGTGAAGGATGCCAAGGGCTTGGTAAAGTCTGGAAACTCTGGTCGCAGTTAAAGCCTGGTTTCCATATGACGCCGACCTGTCGCCGACTCATTGTCTGTAATCATCCAAGGAGAAAATGATTTCAGAAAGACAAAAGATTTCACTCATCAGTAATCACCGACAATAATACTTTGCCGACGTCGGCGTCATATGGAAACCAGGCTTAAAGAGCATGCCGGCGAGTATTTGTATGCTACGATTCCCACGAAGTCTGATGAAGAAAATGCGCGAAATAGAAATGAGATTGCATGGCGCGATTTCCACAGCACCTTATGTTCGCTAATACGTGTAAAATGATAACGAATATTAACCGTATTTCAAGGATTTTTTATTGTTCAAAACCAAAAACGCATATACTGTTTGTGCGTAAGGGACCTCTTCGGTGAGTGACTAAATATCGTGCAGTTGAATTCAATAGCCGGCCTATAGACTATACCCTATGACCATGTTGGGAGTAATCTCAACATTTTATTAACAAATTACCTGGTGATAAGAGGTTAATGGGTTATGCATTCGCAGCCTGTGCGAATGTTTAGGCATTTATTGTCCCTCAAGTCTGTCCATTAAGCAAAATATCAATATGAACAAACATGCATAATCATTAGGTTGCCATGTTAATTTGCATAGCAGTCATACACATTGCAATGGTAGGTTTATCCACAGTTAATGTGTTTTATCAAGGTTGATCAAATGCAATACTAAGATTTCAGTCAATTAAAATTTTATACAGTCCTTAACAGATCATGTACATGTGATGGGTTACAACATTTCACATTTTATAAAATATTATTGGAACATCACAAATTGTTCAAAAATATGTAGCAAAAACACAGCCTATCATGAACTTCTACTAAGCTGTTATGATTTTCAATCTTTCATCAGCTGATTGTTAATTTATAAGCAATGTTGTTTTAGTATATATGAAACATTGCTCCTGGAGTATGTCAGAAATTATACTTAATAGTAAATTGTTGAGCAAAGCAAGTAATGTTTTTTCACTTGGTAAGATATTAAAAACTATAGGTGAGCAGATAATGAATCAGGAACTTCTTTCACTGGGTGAAAAATCCTCTTCATCTTTAGCAAAGTTAAGGCCAACTCTTTTGGGAATTTTCTCAATCTTGCAACCCCTGATGGCTAAAAACAATTAAAACCACCTTAAAGCAATTATTGAACAAAATACATAGCAAACTTTCTTAAGCTATAATAGATTATTATCCGAAAGGTTAATGATAATGGTAAAAGCTGATGTTGCATGCATGGCCATTGTTTTTATTGTTGTGCATAGAATTTATGCAGTGTAATGAAATTATAATATTCCTAGGAGAATGTATATGTACAATGTACACACCATTCATATAATTTAAAAGCTAATCAATTAGGGTAAAAATGGAAACAAATTCTTCCATGAACTTAAAGCTGTATATACACATAGCTACTCCTAGTATGCAAACATCGAGAAGCTGTAGTAAACTCATCTACACTTTAATGGTATATTCTTTAAGTATTGTGATTAAATTTATGTACGGAAAAGTAATTGCAAACAAATCAGTAAACAGTCTCAGTTATAAATTATGATGAGGGCAATGTTAAAAGGCTTCACTTAAAAACACAGTCTAGCATGAACTTCTAAGCTGTTAAGATTTCTGTCTTTGGGCAGCTGGTTGTTAAGATTCCTATCTTTTGGCAACCAGTTCAATAGCTATTCTGTGGTAAATATTAGTGTAATATAATTCATATATGCTAAAAGGAAAAATATAGCCATTATTTTGTTAAAAATATGTAATATATAACTAAAAAACACAGTGTGGCTTTGATTTCTAAGCTGTTAAGATTTCTGTCTTTGGGCAGCTGATTGTTAAGATTTCAATCTTTTGGCAATCAATCATTAGCTATTCTGTGACAATTATATAACAATATATATCTATAATATATAAATTTTGCCTAAAATATAAAAAACCCTCATGAAATGCACCAATGCACCTCATTTCAATGCATCTTGAAACGTCTATCTAAGGGTTATGTTATGTTAAAGTTATGATTACAGCAGCTTTCTGAATATTTGTGGTAGGTAAGAAAGTAATGTCCCTTTTCAGTATTGGCAAACTTTTAAATTTTGTTTGTATTGAGTATGGCTTTGAAATGGCAAACATTTGTACCTACTATAATTAGTGTGTGATGGAGGTAGGATTGATGAAAACCATCATACAATTTATTTATTTACAAGCAGGTACAGTTAGCTGTGTACAAATTAGCTACAATAAACACAATCGTAATCTATTTATAATAAAAACAAAAAAAGTGATGAGCCCAGCCGTAAAAGCGTTGGCCTCGCACTATTGTTGTGTTGTGTTGTTTCAGGACTATAGTATGACATAACTCTTGTTATTATTAAATAACTTACCTGATTTTAGGCTTTTTTAGCGCCGCCACAAGAATTATTTTGGGGCATCGCGAACATCTTTAACAATTCAAAGTTGAACAGCTTGAACTTCTGTTGAAACCACGCATTTATATATAAGCGCCCTGGTTGAAACCAATTGACATTTGTGCCATGTTATCGTTTTGTAAACAAAGGGAACTGGACAACTTTTGCGAGGAATCATTTAAAGACATTTATTTGTTATTGTTATACGACCTCCGAATTTCGCCATTTATTCGCAATTTCGCCGCAATTCCTTGGCGCAAAAATTGTCACTAACATGTCGAAGAGGAAATTTCCCAAAGGAAATTTCCTACGATTTCCCAACACTGAACTGTATATATTACGGATGCTTTTGACGATACAGAATCATCAACTTTCTACCCAAGTGTTTACGTATCCAAGCAAAAATAAAAGTTTTTTTTTATATATAACTTCTTTTACACAGGTAATTAAAGAAATTGATGGATATTTCTCTTCTTATACAGCTTTTTTACGACTTACGAGGCTACTCAGCGCTCATCGACTGAGGATATACGATACTCGACATCCCTGCGGCAGCAAAAAAAAAAATAAAAATCATCGTGTGTTTGGTAACATTTATTGTCTTTATTGTCTGTCGCCTAAACAAATCAAGCGCAATTTCAATTTGTGACCGTGATGAGAAGAAATGCTGGATAACAGTTGACACCGGCATTGAACTGAAACAACCTTTGCCTATTCCGTGGTATATAAACGCATTTCCTGCAATATTTACACAATATAACTCGTTGATTATCCCGTATTCATGCGTACAATCACATTTTCTATGCCGAAGTGTGAATACTAGGTCTTGAAAAATATTCACAGAGTATTCGAAGGTATTCTAGGTCAGAATACGCGGTGTGTTTTATTCACAGGTATTCACATCGGAATACCCCCAATATTCCGAGGATATTCACAGTGAATATCTGTGAATACGTGTGAATATGGACCATATTCGAACTCATATTCGCACGTATTCACCTGTGAATACGCGGTTTTGGTAAACTTGTCGGAACATACAATGATTTCCTGAAAGAAAAACGATTTTCGCATTTGCACTGTTCTCTGGCGGTCGATTACTTTGATCCTCGGACCTTTTTTACCTCCTCTAAGCTAGTTGCTTCACCCCCCCTGCGACAGGCCAACATCTCCACCTTGTATCGACAATTAGCCCTATATGATTTTTCTAGTTGACAAGTTTATATGTTGTCTATTTGGCATGAAAATTGAAAAAGGCATTGCAAAATCGTCCAATATATCCACAGATTGCCAATATCAGGAATGCTAAGGATCATGCCCCTGGACCCAGTAATAAGAGAAGTGAATAAGCTTACTTATTAATATGAAAATGTATACGCATTTACGGCATTGTATTTGCTGTTTACTCTAGGATCCATTCACACAGCTCATCCGAGTTCAAAACTATCATTTTATGATTTCGTATAACTTCAACACTTGAAAGTGAAAATTGGTGATCTAAGTCCAACTTGCCTGATTTAAGGCAAAACAAAACAGAATTTCAGAAAACATCAAAACGGTTGACTCGTTTATTTCGGTTTATTAGTTCACCTGTATAAGTTACAGCTATCCGGCAATTTAAAGCGTTTTTATTTGTCTGAATCTATATTAATCTAATACATATATATCATCATCATCATCATCATTATCATCATTACCATTATCATCATTATTATTATTGTTATTATCATCATAGTTATCATCATCATCATTACCATTATTATCATAATGATTGTCATCATTATTATTATCATTATTGTGATCATCATCGTCCTCACAATGTTCATAACCATCATTATAATCATCATCATCATCATCATAATCATAATCATCATCATAATCATTATTATAATCATCATCATCATTATAATCACTATCACCATCACCATCATCATCATAATCATCGTCATCATAATCATCGTCATCATAACCATCATCATCATAATTGTCATCATCAGCATCATTATAATCACGATCACCAACATCATCACCATCATCATCATCATCATCATCATCATCATCATCATCATCATCATCATCATCATCATCATCATCATCATCATCATCATCATCATCATCATCATCATCATCATCATCATCATCATCATAATCATCATTATCATCATCGTAATCATCATCATAATCATCATCATCATCATCATTATCATCACACTCTTCTGTACAAAGATGACCTAACTCCTGGCACTTCTGACAAAGGCTTTCCTGGTGGGGTCCGGACCGACGTTTCTCAGACCCACCAGCTTCCCGACGAAAATCCTCCAATCTCTCTTTTTCCCGTTGTTTAACAGGCCAACAATCGATGCCACATTGAGCGCATTTCTGGTACTTCCCGACAAAACTCTTGCTGCTTTTCCAGCATCGATCGCAATTATCACAATAATACTCTGCAAAGCAAGGCTGGGGACCGCTATAAGGCTGAAAGGTGACAACGAGCGATCCTTTGTTGACCGCAGAAAACTCAAGATTTTTCTTCTTTAGAAATTCCTCCACCTTTGGGCGGATCTTTTGTTTATTTTTCACTCTGCTGTGATGACCTGCTCCAACGATAATTTCAAGCCAGGGTGCCTGGATCTTTTTCGATCCTTGAAGATCGAAATCCTTCAATTTTTCTTTCAATTTCCGAATAGCTTCATCGCTTTCTGATCTCCACTGCTCAACAATCCCAGCAACGTCTTTGCTTCGATCTTTTCTCTGTAACAAATCTTTTTCAAAATTTTCTAACAGAGATTTATCTTGAATACAGTCGCGGCTACTTTGGATAAAATTATTAATTTCATCATTACACACTTCGCCTTTCAACAGTTGTTTCTTTAAAGTTTCCTTTTCTTGACCTTTGAAGCTATTCATTTTGCATTTATCAAACAAGCTGTTCAATGTCTCATGACTCAATCGCCAACTTAACATTTCCAAATGCAAAAGTTCTAGTCTTTCTTCGTCAGCAACAAGTAAACCGTGAAGATCAACTTCGTTAATATCTCGTTGAAAATTGAAAAACATAAACAGTTCATCGCAGGCCTCGCGATTGTATCTATTCATTAAGGTGCCGAAGAAATCTTTGAAAAATTTGCAAAGGCTTAAGCTACTACCCCCACCCCATCCTAATGCATTCTTTAGGAATATAAACCTATTCTTCCATTGCATACGAACTCCGGCTACTTGTGATGCTTTCTTTCGGTAATATAAGCCACGAAGAAGATGCTGCACAACTTCTTTGCAAGTTAGGTGAAGTTGAGTCGGAACAATCTTTAGGTCAATGATGACGTCACCATGTATTTCTTCGATTTTAACGCGATCTTTAAGTTGAAGGACTCGTCTGATATTGTTAATATGGGCATAGTCGGGTCCCATTAGATCATATTTCCGCGTACTTTGACAGACGATTTGGCAGCCATTTTGTGCCATTATTTTACAGTTGTTTTCATTGTAAGGGACAAACTTTCCTTCGTCGCCTTCTGTTGGTAAAGTTAGTACACCCGAGGCCAGGTGTTTAACGAAACCTTCAATTTTTTCTAACAATTTACTTTTCTTTTTCTCAAGATAATCCTCTATTTTATTTCGCTCTATCTTGGAGACCTCAAACTTCGTAACAGGTGGGATTGGCTTTCCATTGAGACGGACGACAAGGTCTGTCGACCAAGGTGTTTCACCCTGCACAGTGATGTCGAAATATTTCTTACCATCTTCGGAACACATTCGCTTGTTAACAAGTTCGCTTTTATCTGGTGTGGAGGCCTCCAGCTCGCAGATGACAGGCAAATCTGAAAGCATTCGTTCACCAAATACATTGACAACAGCAAGGCGGTATAAGCATTCGTATTTAACAGCGTTACGTATATCGATTTCTTTCAGCACCATCTCAGGCAAAGCACTGGAGCAAGGACCATAGGCTATGCGCAGCTCTTTGATTATTGTACATTCATTGATTGATATGGTTATGGAAATATTCTCCCTTCCACTGAATCTCATACTGAACTGAAGACGACTACCATTTACCTTGCTGTCACAAAATTCAACATGGGGAGTACCACTAAGGCTAATATTTGGCATAGATTTGGATAACTTGTTGCCAAACTGGTCCGTGATTGTAGCACTGCATAACATCCATTGATTTTGGTACGCTACTAAATCATCTTCAGGTATAAAAGCCTTATCGAGCGGTTTAGTTTTTAGTTGACAAGTGAAATTTCTTAAGCAGTACGTCACAGGTGTTTCCGCTGGGTTGACTTGATTTGCTTGTCGTTGTTGTTCTTGTTCTAGTAGTTCTTCTCTTTGTCTCCGTAATTCCTGTTGTAGTTGCTCTTGTTTTCGTCGTTGTTGTTCTTGTTGTCTCTGTAATTCCTGTTGTTGTTGTTCTCGTCTTTGTTGTTCTTGTTGTCTCTGTAATTCCTGTTGTTGTTGTTCTCGTCTTTGTTGTTCTTGTTGTCTCTGTAATTCCCGTTGTTGCTGTTCTCGTCTTTGTTGTTCTTGTTGTCTCTGTAATTCCCGTTGTTGCTGTTCTCGTCTTTGTTGTTCTTGTTGTCTCTGTAATTCCTGTTGTTGTTGTTGTTGTTGTTCTCGTTGCCGTCGTTGTTGTTCTTGTTGTCTCTGTAATTCCCGTTGTTGTTGTTCTCGTCTTTGTTGTTCTTGTTGTCTCTGTAATTCCTGTTGTTCTCGTTGTCTTTGTTGTTGTTCTTGTTGTCTCTGTTTTTCCCGTTTTTTTTGTTCTCGTCTTTGTTGTTCTTGTTGTCTCTGTAATTCCTGTTGTTGTTGTTGTTGTTCTCGTTGCCTTCGTTGTTGTTCTTGTTGTCTCTGTAGTTCCTGTTGTTGTTGTTCTTGTTGGCGTTGTTGTTCTTGTTGTCTCTGTAGCTCCTGTTGTTGTTGTTCTTGTTTTCGTCGTTGTTGTTCTTGTTTTCTCTGTTGTTTTTGTTGTTTTCGTAGTTTTTCTATTTGCCGTTGTTGTTCTTGTTGTCTCTGTAATTCTTCTTGATGTTGTTGTTGTTCTCTTTGGCGTCGCTGTTGTTCTTGTTGTCTCTGTAATTCCTGTTCTTGTTTTTCTCGTTGTCTTCGTTGTTGTTCTTGTTGTGTTTTATCTTGGTCTGAACAGCTTCTTGTTCCTTTATTTGATCTTGGAATGACAACATTTTGTCCAAGCCGATGTTGACTTGTCGCATGAGCGAAGGCACCACGGCTAGACCTTAAACGACGTAGTGCTGTTGGGCAAATCTCATCACTACACGAAGGACCAAAACAGGATGCAAGGCAGCCCATGTTGCGTCCAAATATACTCAAGACAAGGCTAAACTATGCCCATATAACGAGTGCTTTAAACCACTCGGCATTGCACTAATCGAGCAATCTCGAGCTGCAATTCACATACCTAAGCTTCCGGTGTCCTGCTGAGTAACAGAATTATATAAAGCATTCTTAAGGAAATTGCATCAACTACATTACACCCCACCGTTCGAAATGAACATTGTTGACATTGTTTAAAATATTTGTGTTGTGCTAAAAGCAAATTTTGACCCTGTCTCGTCTTTATACACGCTGCATTTTATTAGAATTAGCATCGCTCATATATCACGTACGATTTTCTAAGAAAATTTTGTTATTGTTGCCCATATAAGGTCTAAATCTAGTAACCAAGGCTATGCACTGCGCTGAAAGACATAGCCAGTTTAATCGAAAAGATTTTCGATTGTATAAATGAATTATGCTTTGGGTTAAGAATGGTTTGGTAACTTTGGTTTCCGTGTCAGCCATTAAGGTTAGCTTTAGTTTAGGAACAGAATTGTATATGAAGTTAGTGTGCTTTCAGTTTTCCCACATTATAAATTTTGTATGCAGAATATACCCTAGGTAGCTCCGAGGTATTTGTATCCAGCTTCATATTGCGCGAGCAGACTGCATGTTGTATATAAAAATTTACTCATCCAGGGGGAAACTAGCTCCATAATTGGGGGGGGGGAGTGATTTGTATATATTATGTATACAAACAAATGAGATATGTCAGGTAGATCGAATATATATGCACGTACTCTCCCCTCAATTATCGCATCTAGTTTCTACCCTGAGCAAAACATAGTGCACGTATCACGTTTGCTTGAGCATGATGCTGTCCGATTTCGTGAAGTTGACTCAGTCTTAGCGTAGTGTAACAGCGCTTGCCTATACTTTCAGTTACTCTTATAAAGAAAAGGATCAATTCCATAAATCACTATATTTTATTCTCCCTATTTGCAAACAACGCTTCATAATCACTTCTAAATTAATTCTATGTTAATACAAAAGTTTGTTAGAATTTTGCACATAAACTCTCGTCCTAAATTCTTCGCATTTGAGTTGCCAACTTCATCGACAGCATTTCAAAGTACGAAGGTACAGAAATTCGATAATATTTAACTACCACTAGATTGGACAAATTTCACCACAGCCTCACAAAATAAATTGCCATGCAGGACAGAACTCGGTATTGGGATTTTCTTAATGAAAAATAAGGCCACAAAAATTGCCAGGAAAAATGTTGGTAAAAAAACGACTAAGCGGACATTGAATTCGAACAGTAAAATCAGTCTTGGACCACCATTACTAATAATTACTTCAGCATATGACTCAGAAAATTGAAAACTAACACAAAAAGTAAAGAATAGAACTACAGCCTGGTTTTAATTTAATCGTAATGGTCGTGAGCAAGTCATTTTCACCGATTAGAAATAGTCCGTGTGTCAATTGGTCTTTTTTTCTGTATTCAAATCAGTCTTTGGCTGTGCACATATAGAAATATTCTATCACATCAGCCACCTTGACATGTTCACGATACCCACGACTAAATGGAAACCAGGTTTTTAGGAACAAATTGGCCAAAGCAATCATTAATTCCCAGTAGCGTATAGCTAGCCTGACGACTTTCACTCAATTGTCTGTATTTAAAAAGCTCACTCACACTCACACTCTCTCCTGAGTGTGACACAGAAATTTTGTTATTACTGATCAACGAAAAAGTTCTTTCTCTTAATCAGTGGAAAGATTTGAGGTAAAACATTGAAAATCAAGCAATTGTTTGACTGAAAATACCGCCATGGAAAAGTTATGAGAAGATTGAGATCTCCCACTCAGTGAGTTTGAGTCTGAGTGAGCTTTTAGAATACAGGCGAATGATTGTGGTAGCAATCAATTTCCGAAGAAATTCATATATAAAATTGCTCAAATTTTGCATAAGGAGACTATATCGCCACGCTGGCTAACTGTTAGATTTTGGCACACTCATTACAGAACGACCGATTAAAAAAATAAAAAATCTGCACTCTCCATTTTTGCCACCTTGAATGGCTTCGCATTTTTTACCTCAAAGGAAAATAAATGTTATAAATCATGTCCTTTTTTACTACACGCATTCTGATTGGGCTACTGAAAATGTAACATAATTGCTGATTGGTCTAAAAAGAAATTCCTTCTTTTTGTCTGTGCGTGGTATCACGAAGGTTATAAAAAGGTGAACGTTATACCTAATAGAGTATTAAATTAAATAAAACAAAATTTTCACAAAAAAACCCTACAAATATATTTTTAGTGGCCAGCCACTATGTCTTCCGTTGGTTGTCTAATTCCGCAAGGATAGGTCGGGCCCACTCTGCCACGTCAACGACTTCAGTCTGGTATTTCTTGATAAACGCATGTGCCTATTACAATAAGTACAATATTAATCGATGTATTATCATTCATAAAGTAATGGACAGTGGATATAGACGATCGTAAGATATGTTATTTAAAGATGGAGTAAACAATGTAAACAAACGCTTTGTTGAAATTTTGAAGCACTATATATTTCTTGTAATGTCAGGAACAGTGAGAATATCTACCACTATTTCGGTTAAATATAGTTCAATTCAGGGACATGTCGCAGTGCTCGGAAGCTTTCGTCCAATTGGATAATGCTTTTCTATGCTTTCTAAAGAACGAAGCTATGCTATTGGTTGAAACAGAAATGTATTGTAAAGTTCAGCCAATGAAAATCATTCTTGCGAGAAGCTGCGACACTACCTTCAATTTAACCAATGCGCAAAAGTCTCTGTAGCCCTCTTTAAAAAAAGGATGAACAAACCTTTAATTGTGTATAATTTGGTCGCTGTTTATACTCCTTTTCTAAGCTGGAAATAAGTAAAGAATAATAATATATTACTCAAAGTCGTTCCTGATTGGTCGAAACGCGTCGGATGAATATATCGGCATTCTGCAGTATGACATGCGTATTTACGTTCTAGCATGAGCCAAAATAGAATCACCTACCAACTGTTTACTAAATCACAGCACTCGTCGGAGAACAAGCCACCTTTCTCCAATTTTGGTGCAGGCTCATGGACGACTTGCTTTAGTTGTTCAAATGGAGTTCGCCACTGTCCGTACGGGAACTTACCGGTGCCTAACTCGATCTAGCACGAAAAAGTGATCAACTGAGATCAAATTAGAGCACTTAAGTCACGTTCAGTGAACAGTAAATTTCATCAGTCCAGCTCAGCCCGGCTTAGTTCAGTTCAGCCAGTTTAGCTCAATAGACTTTTTCGATAATTACGTCACAACATTTTAACAACACACTTTAAATGAAATGGATTTCAAGTTTTGCTTCCACGAGCCACGTGCAAAGATGCAAAACATCCTTCTTCAACACATGCATGAAAAAGATTTTTTCGTTTTGACCACTAAATGTGGAAATAAGCCATAACAGCAGAACGATGCTGAGGGGCCAAAACCGCGAGCCTCGTTCCCGCGTTATGGCTTATTTCCATACTTATCAGTCAAAATGAAAAATTCTTTTTCATGCATGTGTTGTAGAAGGATGTTTTGCATCCTTGCACATAGCTTGTGAGAGTAAAACTTGAAATCCATCTCATTTAATTAAAGTGGTTATAAATTTAAAACGATAATGTTGTGACGTAATTACAGAAAAGGTCCATTCAGTTCAGTTCAGTTTAATTTAATTCAGTTTCGTTCAGTTTAGTTCAGCAAATATCTTGGTGACGAGGGAGTTAGGGTAACACATATAATATGTAGATATTTCATTTTTTAACAAAATATCTTACCACAGTTATTCCTAAGCTCCAGACGTCTGACCTGATATCATAACCAGGCGCATCTTTTGATGGATTGATTCTTTCGGGCTGTCGAAATAAATAAAGACAACAAAATTTTGTCAAACCTGCACATGGCATGAACCTGGTCAACCAAACCTGCGAACAGGCTGCCTGAACGAGGGCCTGTTACAACTCCTTGAGGCATACCATGTATTCATACAAAATAGGGAGGGTAAATAGCCTGATCGAGCAGAGTACTAGGTCTACGTATTTCCCGCCATACATGTTTTGCGGTTCCTGACTAGACCCAGTACACGGCGGGTACACGGATTGGGAATTAATTAACTGATGTAAAGGATTATTTTATACTTCGCGTATTTTGGCGGGAAAATGTACAAACGTCAAAAGATTCACTCTTACCACTGTATTGTACCACTCAAAATATATTTTTAAACCTTTATTATTTTGTTTCGGGAGAAATTAACAGTATTTGGTAGTAGTTCTTTAAGTTTGGGTAGAAGTTCTTTAAATATTGTGTGTATCACTGCCGATCAAAAAGCGCTTAAATTGACTGACCTAAAATAAAGTTGGCGGTCACGTTGACTACCGGAGATATCGTGCCGAACGTGCCAAATACTCACAGCCATATAGGGTTTACATCCTGCGTCCATTGTCTTTGCCAACGAGTTCACCAGCTGACCACTAATACCGAAGTCGCATAACTTAAACTCCCCGGCGTCATTGATGAGTATATTTGAGGGTTTCACGTCTGAAAAGACAAACAAAAACCAAATCAAGTTGTTATATAGGTGCTGTGTATTTTAAATGTGATTGGTTCATTCGTAGTCACATGTCTTTAAATAAATGCAATGTTTCCCGCCAGGGAAACAAGTGAAAAATTGTTGCCCGCTTCTTGTCATAACAAAGTAAAGTGGATTCTTTTTTAAATGAAATTGTCGTGTAACATGTATGTTTATAACATAACATTTATAGTACGCGCGTGCTGATTGGTCGAGAAGCGTGTTTCTATAACTGTATAGAAACACGGGAATTTTCCCGCCGAACTTGACAAGCGAAGTAATGTAATGAGAATTTGTAATTGAATCGAATTATAATATTTGTAAAAAATCTTTTTATTGAGTTATATTATAAAAGAAATAGAAAACGTTTTACCTGTGTTTCTATACAGTTATAGAAACACTTGTGGGAGTTTGGGAGAACTCGAAATAACGTGGAAAAACTCGCCCTACGGGCTCGTTTTCCCACTGATTATTTCTCGTTCTCCCAAACTCCCACGCGTGTTTCTATAACTGTATAGAAACTCGGAAAATGTTTTCTATTTCTTAATTTCATTCCTATATAACAAAACACTTAATGTACACTACCTTGGGAAATAGTGAGTTTTGTTTTCCCTCGAGTCTCAATGTTCTCGACTTCGTCTCGGGAAATATTCAGACTCTTGGGAAAACAAAACTCACTATTTCCCTCGAGATATTATAAACTGTAATTTTTATTTCGATGGAAAGCCAACTCAAAAACTGTTTCTTCTATACATATACCTCGATGGATAATTTGTAATGTGTGTAGGTGATCCAGTGCTTCCACAACCTAGGTTTAAGGAAATACATATATAGGAAAATTGATTAAACTAAACGTTTTATTTGACAGAAATTATAGTCGTTTCAAGTCCTGTAGTATAGTGTAGTAATCTTAATCCATTTGTTCAGAAAATGATCAAGATTTCAAAAAAACTAAAACTCTCTTTAATGACTGTAAACTTCCATTGAAATGACAATTTAATCCTTCATAACTTACAGCTCTGGTTAGCTTTCCCAACACATTCTCCGGTATTCTCCTGTCTGGAACACTGTAAACACATTTGTACAGCTTGTCTAACGATGTATGCATCAATTCCATACATATCCATACATCACCCTAAAGATACACAAACAATGCATAATGTACATACAGTACTTGTCCTCCAGTCCTCTGTAAAAGCAATATATCTGAAAGTTAATAATTACCTCTCTGAACAGCGCGCCATAGAACTGCACAGTGAAGGCACACTCACTGACTCGCATTGACACATCAAGATCCATCAATGCCCTCTTTTGTTCCTTATCATTAAACGAATATGGTATCCGCTGGATTTATGAAAAAGGAGAGGGTTAATTCTCTAGTTAAATGGTATGAACATGAATGAGTTGCAATGAATCAAAACTCTCAATCCTAAACCAATTTAAAGCCTTATTCTTAATTCCAAACTAAACCAGAGAGTAATCTCAGCAATGAATCCTACTCTAAGCTATTAATCCTAATCACCAATTTTTAATCCAAATTCCTAATCCAAAACTTAATCTAAACTCTTTAATACAAAATCCAAACTCTTTAATCCCAAATGAGATTAATAGTCTAACTTGCAAACCCAACAGTACTGGTAGTATCTCACCTTAACTGCCATCATTGTTTCAGTAGATTCCAATTTCATCTTTTGTACAACACCATATGCACCATGACCCAACTCTCCAAGGTCCTCTAAATCTTCTGCTTTGCAGTCAAACTCCTAACAAATTGAATAAACATTTGTGATTTGAAAAAATACTTTAATTTCCTCAGATAACTGAATTCCAAATCCCTGTGTCATGTCCAGCTAATTCTCAAAAGAATTAGTCAAGAGAGAACTTCTTTGAAAATTAGTGACTCAAATGAGTGTGCATATGCCAGAAAAAATATATACAGTATGTACTTCAAGTCTTCAACCCTATAACAATATTCACAATAGCAATCATAGAAATATTATATCATATATATTTACTAAAAATTTAGCATTAAAATTAATAGACAAAAACATTTCTTGACGTTTCGACCTAAGGGCCTTCGTCAGGAGAGTTAGTATGAAAATAAATAGGGGAGAACACATGTTTTGTATGGGGGCAAAAGTGCAAAACACCTCAATGCTCCCTGATTATATTAAAAATTACTTTACCTTTCCATTGATAGTCAAGGTTGTTTTATCAGACAAATTATGAGGTGTTCTAAAGAGAAAACATTTCATTATATATTGTCTCTATAGTTTATAATTTTGTAACAATATTAGAAAAATAATTCATCCTACATATTGAAGAGTACTCTTAATTGGCCTAACTGTAAATAATTTACTGTAGACTCACATTGGTGATACAGACTTTGCAGGATGGTTCTGTGAAAAGTCAAACTTTCCTGGTCGTGGACCTTTCGGCTTTTTTTCTAAAAAAATAAAAATACATAAATAAGAAATTGACATATATATTTTTTTGCCTTAGCAAATTGTGAACATTTTTTCCGTAAGGTATATACTGCACAGACATTTAGAACATGCCTAGGTATGTATAAGTCCTCTCCATTGATGCCTTCAAATACTATTAATAGGTAGCTTTAGCAGCTAGTGGTTACGAGTACGACTAGGAGTACAAGATTTGTCATTTCAGCATGTTCTTTACTTGTAAACACCATCAGCCAAAACTCATGGTCATTGAGCTTTTGAGTATGAGTTTGTTGGTAAATGTTGTAATTGAAAACCCAACAACTACAAGTTTTAGCTAATGGCATAAGCAAACAACATGCAAGAATAACCACAATTTGTGGATCTGTAGTCAGTAGTTTGAGAAACATGTTTAATGTTCCTTCTTCATGAATCATTAGAAAAGAAAACCTCATTCTATCATCAAACCAAAAGGGAATTCCCAAATCGATGCAATTTAACTTCCTCAAACCTATATAACTTTGTTGTCTAAAGGCCTGCTCTACAGTTAAATATACATTTTATTGTTTTGTTTTTGACAGTGTTTCACAATATATATAAACTCCATTTGATACCATCAACTTAAAAGTATTTCAGTTCATTCACATGTATATATGTAATTAACATTGCAGATCATATCTGGTTTAAAAACTGGCTGAAATGGACAGAAATACTTCTTCTCTTACTCCTATAAGAGTGATACACCAACTATGAGAAGTATTTCTGACTATTTTAGGTAGTTGTTAACCGCATTTGATACGAAGTTTCTGTACAATGCTGCCGCATGGCTCTATGACTGCACTGAAATGTATGCAGTGATAAGTTTTAAAAGGTCTTAAATTCATAACCCAAACATGGAAATAAAGTCTACAAAAGGTTCTACAAAGTTATAGAAAGGGAATTTCAAAGATTTCGCCAATCTGATTCTAGATCGCATCATTCCGAGGCTGTTTTGTTTATCGCATTTTGAATAACCACCCTTAGTGCCTATAGTGGAACTGTCTGTTTTAATATAATGGTAAACAACGCTTAATATCACAAGTGTCTGAAAATTTACCATTAAATGAAAATGTACAAGCTGAGCAAACATCGTTTTCGATTCAAAATGTCGGTGAAATGAAACACTACGGTTAGTTTGGGTGCAAAGTTTCATTTCAAACGCAAATCTTGACAGGTTGCAGGAAAAATGGGTTTCCGCATGAGGCAATTGGGGGCGAATTGACACTAATTCATAATGAAGTGTGAATAGCACTACACTTACTGCCTTCGCCAGTGTGTCGTCTTGCTCCAGACATCTTTCAGATCTTTAGCCTTCAAAGTTGAGATTATCTTATGACATTCAGTTGGGGAAATTGAGCAAACTTCAGTAAAATTGTTGCAAACTTCCCAGGGAAAGTCCCTCGACGAATCTTATGTGGTATTCCCCACGGATTTCTCTGGCTTTAAAATGCTTAAAACAACAGACTAAGTGGTACTAAAGGTACCCTCGGTTATGAAAGATAGCCCGCGAATTTCCACGGGAGAAAAGAAGCGATATTTTGGCAAAATTTCATTTAAAAACCTCGTTCTATGAAGCACAAACTTTCTTATAGAACTTTTGTCCAACAAAACGAACACGAATCGAAACATTCGTGCAACGCTGGTTGTAATCATCACTGGCTCACTACGAGGATTAAATATTAGGATTAAATATTAGGATTAAATATTAGGATTAAATATTAGGATTACAGTCGAGTTTCAGATTACAGCTGAGATTAGAATCGTGGTTATGAGTTATGACTGTAATGGTTGTAAATTTGCAAGCATAATCCCAATTTAACCAAGAGTTGAACGTATACTGCATATCATTTATTACTTATTCTATTTCATAGCCTCCAAATATTTATATAAAATATTTGTGGGGAAAAATATGATGGAATGCCTGCATTTTAAATATTACATTTAATATTAGGTAATTAAATGAATTCATATTGATAACTAAGTTAATGTATATTAATTATTTCCCTTTGGAGTATCTCGTTGTTGTTGATTTTCACTGTTGAAAAGTTCTCCTGTTTATTAAATTAAACAAAATGCGGCTGACGGAACCACTTCAGTTTATTGACCAAACAATAGATGACGCAATCTGATTTAATTTAATTGGAATTTTGTGAAATTATTACTGCCACGCGCTCTTATAGGAAAATAATTTGAAATTTTCCCAAATCCCGACCACTTCCCTGTTTGATATTCCTCTTTTTGAGTCTTAAATTGAAACTAAAATACGTAAAAGCTTGTATATTTCATCGCTCTTTCCGTCAATTACGTAGGCGGAAATGGTTACGAAATTCCGTTTTGTACCAACACGCCTATTACGCATGCGCTACTTAGAAATCACGTGACGTATGCATAAAATTATCTGGTTTTCTATCGGGGAGGGGTAAGTGCACGATGTATACCATGCTTAAAAGATCGCTGTTCTTTTGCAATTTTCTTCGCTAAACCTCGACAAAAAGATTACATAGAAATCTTAATACTTTTTCCGGGTTTTTTAGTTTAAAATTTTTTGTTAAAAGAAAAACAGCTCCGGTATTCATTGTGGCTTAGGCACCCCACCCCGGGTGGTTTTGACGTGTCCTTAAAAAGCATGGATAGGCGTTGGTTGGCAATTTGAAGCGTTTCCTTTTCCTGGCAAGCTGGCATCATAACCACTGATTCAGTCAAGTTTTCGGCTGTAATTCGCATTGTCTTACCCGTGTGAAGTGTCAACGTAGCGCTTCTATTCCTCGCGGATTCACAATAATCTTCACAAAGGTACGTAGCGATTTCAGGCTTTATTTGCGGCTGAAATTTCGGCAAGCATGTTTTGTAACGCGAGTGCGTTTCGCCACCGGGTAGAAGTTCTTGTCTGACTCGAACATGACAGAATTTGTCTTGCTAAAACAGGGCACAGTGATTTAGAGCGTAGCTCCTCGACTGTCGATGTATTATATTAAAGCAGAAGGGCTAAACTGTGCGAGATTATGCTTCTGTTAAACTAGGAATCGCTTCGTTGTGTGACTGGTATGGCAATGTCTGTAGGAATTTATATAATAGGCGATATTTCTGCTTCCTGGGTCGACGTTTTATGCTTTCCAGCAGTTATCTATATCAATTTGTATTGGCAGTTTTGGTTTGCCTTTCATTTTGGCAGGCGGACATTGTCTAGCAACACGACAATTGAATCGTTTGGGAAGTTTTTGAAAAGTGATAATTCAAAAAGTCCGAAGTACAGTACTTTTCTATCGTGTGCTGCCAGCTGTATGCTTCGGTTCACGCGAATCCGATGCGAAATATCAGTTTGCTTTCATTTACAAGCGTTTCCTGTCGTTGTTTCAAGCGAAACCCTTCGAAATATGGCAGATTTACGGGCTTAAAGCAGGAAGATTTATGTGCGGGGTACGAAGTAATAAAGTTGAGAAATTTTGATAGCTTTCGGCTGCCCATCGCAAACTATTGCTAGGCTTCACCAACAGGTTGTTGGATGCTTAAAACTTGCCGGTCCCACCTTTTTCCTGTTAGTCAAGGGCAGACTTTCACCGCCTATTCGGCCAAATCTACTAGCAAAATGCAAAATGCTTTTATATCGCGACGTTTTCGTGTCAAATGGTTCATTGCCGTGGCTTAATTTTTATAGAACAATGGCCGCACGAAATCTGTGTGCAGAGTGAATTTAATGCTTCACGCGCTCTCTCAAACTACCAAACAGACTCTTTTTACCAAGACCTCTTACACGCCTGCTCTGTTAATATTTCTGCTGTCGTTTTGTAAGATGATACGCTCTGCTTCGTTCGTCTTGTACGATGCTAAAACTTTGTCGAAAGTCGATAATTCCTGAGACAAAGCACCAATCTCTTCGAGAAACAACGGGGGGAACTCAAGGAAGTGCTTGTCGCAGAATTAAATATCGATACAAAGACACTGCAGCAGCGATATTTCAGTACTGTGTATTTACCGAACAATAACTTTTGAGGTTTTAATAGTTTGTACATGTGGGATATCAAGTTGTTTGTAAGTGTACAAAATTTCACACTAATCCTGGCCTGTATTAATAATATTGACTTAATTGGGGAGGCATTATTAATTGGTAACGCGTACTTGCGGATAAGGTGTGTAATTTCCCTAATTAATAGAACATTTTTAAAACGAGTGTTGGCCAGTTTATTGGCCATGAGCCGATTTTTCTACTTGGAAAGCAAACTTCAGAACATCTACCACTGTATGATTTTACTGGTCAGTTAAATGGGTGCAGGTCTTGGTGCTTGTCTTGGGATGATATTAAGAGGAATTTTTGTTGGTAACCTCTAAATGTGAAATAAGCTTCCTGTTGAAATATTTTGCATGATTACTATTGTCTCCAACTGTATTTCAAGAATGTTGCAAAATGCGCTGCTGCCTTTGTTCAAATGCTTGACTTGGACACACAGTTTAAGATTAGATGTAATAATGAGTTAGCATCAGGTCTTTTGCATTCCATGGAAGGGCTGGTCTTAATGGTATTTACAAAGTCATAATGTTGAAGACAACATTAGTTTCCTTATTCTGCTGGTGCAATTTGCCGTGGCATTGTCTTTGATTAACAATGGGTAAAAGATTTTGTCTGTGTTCAAAGTCATTTTCACTTCCTCAAAATGCAAACAGAAGCATGCAAGAGATCACTGGCATGATACTCGTTTTTTTAATCATTTCACATGCCTCGCCTGACTACAAAAATGGCTGACACATGTGTGCATGACTTTTTTAGGATCTTTTTGCAATTCTTCAAGGAAGAAAATGAGTTGGGATAGCTACATCGATAACTTGATCGCCCAGACCAAAGATGGTGCTGGAGCAGCACATGCAGATAGGGCATGTATTATTGGCTTGGATGGAGGAGCAGCATGGACTACTGCAGGACACGCAAGTGCTTTAAAGGTTTGTAATAAACTATATGTAGTTAGCAAAATTGTTAGATAGTTGTAGTCGCTTTTATGCAACAGTTCTGCTCATACGAATGGGTAGTCTACTTTATTTAAAATTTTGAAAATGTAGTATTTTTCTTATTTTTCCGAACAACTCTGGCTAAACATTCTGTTCAGTGTTAAACATTCCGTTCCTGATATTTTAATGAAGTGATTTAATTATTTAAAATATAAACAAGTATTTGAACTCTCCCAAGAAAGAAAATTAATGAAAAATGCATTGGTTGGAATGACGTATGCATGTATATCTACATAAATTGTGCATTCCAAAGTATCTATTATCAAATTACTGTTAGTAATTTAAATAATCAAAAAAGGCACAAATCTTCTATGGTCTTTAATGTAAAAACAAAGCACCAATCTCTTCGAGAAACAACGGGGGGAACTCGAGGAAGTGCTTGTCGCAGAATTAAATATCGATACAAAGTCACTGCAGCAGCAAAGATATTTTGGTACTGTGTATTTACCAAACAATAACTTTTAATAGTTTGTGCATGTGAATATCAAGTTGCTTGAAAGTGTACAAAATTTCACACTAATCCTGGCCTGTATTAATAACATTGACTTAATTGGGGAGGCATTATTTATTAATAACACGTACTTGCGGATAAGGTGTGTAATTTCCCTAATTAATAGAACTTTTTTTAAAACGAGTGTTGGCCTGTTTATTGGCCATGAGCCAATTTGCCTACTTGGAAAGCAATTTAAATTATCAAACAAGGCACAAATCTTCAATGGTCTTTAATGTAACCTTCAAATGCTGGTAATTGTCTGTCCTAGTGTTGGTGTTATCACACCTTTGATCACATGCCTTAAAAATATCTATTTTGTTTCTTCATTATTAGCTTACAGGAAATGAAGGCCCCAACATTGCAAAATGCCTTAAGAGCAAGGATTTCACTGCATTCCAGGCGGGTGGCATCCATGCGGAAGGTGTAAAATACCAATTTTTAAGACAAGAGGATGACAAAATAGTTTTTGGAAAGAAGAAAGATCATGGCGCTATTACGATGCAAGCCAGCAAAACCGCCATTGTGATTGGCCATACCATTGAGGGCTGTCAACAGGGAAACACAAATAAAGGAGTTGCAGTTATCGCTGAATACTTAGAAGGCTTGGGAATGTGATGGAAGACATTTTGAACAATAGTATTTGTTTACCGAATTTGATTCTTTCACACAGGATATTTGACAATTTGTAAATGATCCTGCATTGATGGATTGTTATGTTTTTTCTAGTATGATTTAACAAATGTATAAAATTGGACTTCATAAAATTTCTGCATAGTAACTTCTGCAAAGATGTATTTAGGCATCCGCTTACTGTTTTAGGTTTAAAATTCACCAGGACAAATTGGCTTTGTTGCGAGGGCTTTCTGTTCAAGACGCTCTGCAAATGTTTTAGACTAATGTTTTAAGAGAGCTTGATCAAAAACAGAGCCCTGTAATTTTGATAAATAAAAAACATCGTTTAAAATGTGTTTTTACATATTTAGAGCTTCGAAAGCTTCGAATGACCGTATGGAAAGCCTGGACTTGCCTCCCAAATGTAGCCTCGTTCCCAACTAATCAACTAAAACCATCGTTTGAAATCTGTCCCACTTCTAAGTTCTACAAGAGTGCTCGGAAAATTAAAAAGCGTTCTTGAAATACTTTTGAAGTTGTTTCAAAAATGACCACCTTTAAAGGTTTTATTTCGCTCATTTCCGCTTTTTGGTCCGAAAGAATGAAATGTCCGCCATCTTGGATTTTTTAGACACACATCTATCTTACTATACGTTCACTACACGTCTACAAGGCTAGAAAATCACTACAGGTTTTCAGAACTGGGCTTTTCATGGCAAAAACATAAACATTGACAACGTTCAGCAAGGAGGATGCTTTCCCATTCCTCTTGTTTGTGCAACAAATTATTACAAATACAATTAATAGTGTTGGAAGTTCCGGGTCTTTTCTAGCCACTCTTCGATATAAATACAAATTAAAAACCTGGATCATGCATTGTTATTAGCAGACAAATCTTGAAAAAAATTGCCGCCATACAGTGCTGTGATCAGATTAGTTAAATGAATCACTGACCTCTATATAATCCATTAAAAAACCCATGACATTTACTCAGTTCATATATATCAAATTCATTGATATCACTGTCATATTTTAAAAGCATTCAATCGCATTTCTCTCCCTTCCCGCAGGTTCGGGGAAGGGACAGTTTCACATTATTGACATTCCAGTCTAGGTCTTCGCGGGAAGAAGGACCTGGTTACAAAGATACATCTTGAAGTCCAATTGATAAACGTATGGTAGACACGTGATTTAGCAAAGAAGATTGAGTTATTCTCTTCGCTGATGTCAACTCGTCATTTGCACAACCAATTTATAGAGCAACTCTTTTTGAATTCCGTTGAGAAACGGCCTGTAAAAATTTAAGCAGAAAACTTACTTTTGCATATTGAAACATGTTGTTTGTTGCAGAAAATGCCATATTATAACATGGTAGATCTATTCAATAAAAAAGCAGTTGGCCTGCTGCAAGAGAACTCGGCTAGTCTCGAAAGTATAAAAACTATTCAAGCAGATGATGAGCTTGTAAAAATATGGAAACCAGACGAAATCTTACCAAAGATCTTTTTCAAGTTCTTGTAACGCTGTTCCGTCTTTAGCCTGGCATGACATCTGTTTGAAAAACAAGAGTCAATATATTTGGCACACGTGGTTACCAAAATTTTTTGCCAAGCCCAAGGTGTTCATTTGATAGGGAGACTTGAAGTCTTTAGGAACTCGTACTTACCACGACAGATTGCAACAAGAGGAAAAGATCTTCACTCAAATAATCGACTAAATTGAAGAAAAGATACATGGCCATTAAATCTAAAGTTAGTTCGGATGATGATATGATTGTTTCTGGTCGATCGAAGAAGGACTTAACAATGTCGTGCTGAACCCCACATAACAGTTTTTATCAAATTGACAACTATGTTGGTAAGATGAAGCACAAGTCCTGAGCCTTTTTACTTTTTAGCAGTCCATATAAAATCGTGACCAGTCGCATATTGCGATTTGTGGAGGACGTGTATATTTTAATCAAAGTACACTACAATTAGCATGCATGACTATGAGTCAATTAGTATGAGTCACGGACTGCAGTATAAAACTGGACACGAACAAGCCTAGGGCTACCTAGGTTTCACACTGGCTGGAAAGCGTCGATCGTACCCGATGAGCTGGTCCCGTTAGATTCCCACGCGTATTTCTCCAGCATCTGCGCATGTTCGGGACGAATTTTCTGCGGTGTCGGCTGTAAAAAGTAACGAATACTTAATTAATTTGTCAAATGAACACAAAAATTCACCGTTTTGGTTTCAAAAACGACTCGCTTTATTAATGATTAATATGCGTGCGCCATTCAGCATATCATTACATACATATATATATATATATATATATATATATATATAATATATAAAATATATATATATATATATAATATAATATATAATAATATATATATATAATATAATATATATATATATATATATATATATATATATATATATAAATATATATATATATATATATATATATATATATATATATCAGTGGTAAGGTTTTACCTGTAAAAGAAGAAGAATCAAGACAATAGTAACGTCACATTCGGCCAAAATATCGACGTACCCAGCTAAACAAAAATCACGGATACTTGTCAACTCCGTTTTTTGGCTGTAGTAACAGGGAGGGGGGAGTATATTATCAGAAAAAGCCCTTTTCAGGGAATAAGTTAACTAACTGCCCTATGACAATGTTACTGCAACAGCTACCAACTCCAAAGTCGAAACTATGAGAAGTTTCTTTGTCTATTTTGGCAACTGTTATACCACATTTTATGAGGAGTTAATACTTTGCTAAGCTGCTCTCTGGTTATTTTTGAACTGTATCTATGAATTATACAAAACTTGACAAACACTTAAATGTCCAAGGATATCTTGCATGCGGTACTACATTTAACTTACCATGCACTTCATCACTTCCCAAGGCACTGTCACTGGGGAGATTTCTGCCTATGTGAGCAATTACAATCATGAATAGCATTTTAGAAAACTGTGGGTTTGTAAAGCAATAAAATAATAGAAAAATACCAATTAAGGGATTTCTTTTCAGAGAAAAAGGATTCTTTTACCTTAGCCCCTTGTCAGTTGTCAATCAAGAACAGAAGAAAGAAAATGGTGATCCTTCACACCACTCTTCTCCCCCCCACAAAAAAGAATTGACCCCCCCCCACACACACAAACACATAAAGAACAATCACCACATTAGTAATCACCTCGCTCATGAATCAAATAAACCATCTCTGTCAGTAATGCCAAAGCTCCGTCATAATCACCTGGAGGAATTTGTTCACATATTAGATTATCAGTGGCATGCAGTCCTAATGCAGATTTGAGGTTCTCCTTTTAAAACAGATGTTTTCAAAACAACGTGTTGACATGTTTGTGATCTCGGTTTGGTGATCAACTCATTCAACTGCAATCAACAACTTGTTGATATTTGGAATTTCTTGTGGAAAAAAGATTATTTGAAATGGTTCTTTTACCATGAAATATTTACTAACCCATATTTAACTTGCATTTGACTGCTAGCCCCATTGAGTTCAAAGCAATCAATGGTGTCTATTTTTATACAAAAAATATACATGTGATAAACAGCGACAGTAATAAGAGCATACTGTATCGGACTCTGTGTGAAACTGAGCCCAGTTCGTTAATTTGCTTGCTGGATGGATGGACTTGTAAAATTACCAGTATAATACCTTATGTTGTAGCTCAGATGCTTGTTGAAAATACCCAACTGCCTCCGAGTAACGTTTCATTTCCTAAAAGGAAATTATGGCCATAGTCTAGGGCATGTTAATGTGACATTGAATTAACCTGATTACATCACAGCCTAAGCTCACATAAAAATTTACTTGTGCCAAAGCTTATGTATATAGGAAGCACCACTGACGTACACTGTAACTGTGTCTCAATTGTCAAGCATTAAGACACTTCCGTATACTTACACTAAGTGAATTTCCTAATTCCAGACATAAACAGGCAGCAAGATTAAGGTTGCTTTGGACACAGTGAAGCTATACGCATAAACGGTAAAAGTAATTTGAACGTTAATAAAAGTGCTGTGTTTTTGAAAAATTGTTGGCATGGAGTGCCCATGCTTCATACACTGCAGTGCTTTCCCTCTTCATTAGCTCTAACAGTGAAGTTTCCTATTATTTAATGAAACTTTCTTTGACCAAATTACCTTGATAGCCTGATTAAAGCAATGAATTGCTTCGGTCAAATGCTCTTCAAACATTGGACATTTGAGAAGAATAGATTCTTGTTCAGCATGTAGAAATAGCCTCGCTATTAGGAAGAAACGTTTTCGTACATTATTTTAATTATTCACTGGTCATACAACACAACAAAATCATGGGAATAACATATTGTCTGTCAAAAGGGTTGTCAAAAACAGACAATTTAAATGTTGAAATATTATTTGAAACATAAAGCTAATAATTAAACTATAGCCTGATTAGAAACTGTACCAATTCAATGGAAACCAGGAAATTAATGATCAAATGTAATCATCACCTGCTTGGGTCAGAGCTTCCACCTCTCCAGTTGGATTTGCAAGTGTGTTTTCACATCTAACAAATTCACAAATATTGTATTTGGTAAAAACTAGCTCAGTCAATATTAGACCATCTGCTAGGTTTACCTGCATTCACAAACAATTGACAAGATGCATATATTTATAATATATAGGATGGGAAACGTGTTCTTTACATAATATGATTTTGCTATCATACCTTGCTTTGGCCAGGCAACAGAATCCAGCATATTGTAAGCATTCTTGTTGTTGTAAAGTTTTTGAAAGATACTCTACAAGATGTTCAATAATGAATAAATCATTTAAATAGGTCAGTTATAGCGAGAAAATTTGTTGAAAGTGTAAGTGCAACTTTAAATCAGCAAATATGTACTTTCATTGATAGTATTAGTCAGATTTTAATAGATTGAGGAGTGGAATTTGTCAAAGATAACATGAGAATAGTAAAAAGATGGTGTGATGCACCCATTTATAGACCAGACTGCAGAGTATGGCAGTTTTCGACGAGATCTCGGGTGCAAAATAATGACAAACCCAAGTGCGGGTGCATGAAATAGGCTGAGGTGCGCACCCAAGTGCGGCCCAAGTGATTTTAGCTCAAAATTGGGCACACAATCACTGCCAAATATCATGTGCAAAATTTGCTTAGGTGCGTGAAAATATTTGTTGAAAAATATCTCAGGTGCGGTGCTGCCCAACTCTGCAGTCTGGTTTATAGACACGTCATACCATTTATTCACTATTCCAACACCGTCTTTAGCATTCCCATCTTCAGTCTAAATCTGCCTATTGTTAATTAATTGAACAAGTTTGGGTTCCTTAGATTGACATTTGCTTAATTCATCATGAGTTGGGTGTGTTAAAATATTTTTCTTACCAAACTGTTGACTGGCCTCTGCAACATTTGGTTTTCGTAGAAATCGTCTGTAAAGCAAAAAATGGTCCCTTTTTTATTGAAATTTAATACAATAATACATGTCATACAGTACAATGAATACATACAGATACAGTGAAAGGCTGAAAGCCTAAAAATTGCACTTTTTATATATTTATTTCTGTATAGCAATCAGAATAAATGAGCATATTACCTCTTCAATTTACTCCCTATAGCCTTATATTTTCCAATTACATCAAAATCTCTATCCATTTTTATATCCTCATCGATTGATCGTTATTTTATCTTGAAGTTTTAACTTGATCGAATAAACAATTTAGTGACAACTTATCAAAAATTTGGCCATATTTGTTTTTGGGGGATATCCGCTGGACGCCGGCTGCAGGCCCAGGAATGATGATGCGAGCAAAGGCAAAAAAATAACAAAAACGGGTGGCATTTTTAATAAAATTCTTGTAATTTTGCATGGTAAATTGCTAATTTTATTTCACAACTTGTTAAACACCACATATATTAAAAATAAATATGTATATTTTTACATAATATACGCGATGTACATGTCTACAAATTTTAAATATTAATATCTAGTTTTCATATCACGACACCCGACCGTTACTTTGTGGTGCTCACGTGAGGAGTTTTCTCAAATCTGATTGGAGTTTCCATGGCGATGAATAACAATACGCCATATTTCCTGACAAATAACTACTTCCCGCCCAAACAACTGACTTCACTTTGCAAACCGAGAAGTTGCCGTTACTTTGTAGCTGCTCGTTTTGTGTTTTATTTAAAAGTTTTAGAACTTTTCTCACTATTTTAGAAGATTTGTAGTTAAGAATGGTAAGTGGAAGACTTTTGCTATGTTTTTGCGACGTTTTTAAAGACATTTCGTCCAAATTTCACGAGTTATTTGGAGGGTGAATAACATCCGAAACTACCAGCCAATTTTTTTAAAACTGGAAATTGTCGTGAGGCTGGTATAAGGTGGTTTTAAACGCATTGGACCAGATTGGATGATATTTAAGAAGTCCTTTTTTAAAATTTACAATGTTTTTAGTAACAATGTTTCTTTGAAATATCTAGCGTGAGTGTATTTCTGTTCATGTCGGCCAAGCTGGTGTGCAAATTGGCAACGCTTGCTGGGAGTTGTACTGCTTGGAGCATGGCATACAGCCCGATGGACAAATGCCAAGCGACAAGACTATTGGCGGTGGAGATGACTCCTTCAACACCTTCTTCAGCGAGACTGGAGCTGGAAAGCACGTTCCCCGGGCGGTTTTTTTAGACTTGGAGCCAACTGTTGTCGGTAAGATTTGCATCATTTTAAATGCTTTTAGTTTTATGCTTCTTCGAGGTCCCATTTATCTTGTTGTTACACCGGACACGAAGAAAAAAGCATATAAAAATACAAGCATATTCAGATAATAGCTTTTATAGAATATTTTGTAAGTTGATGATGAGAAATTAACACCAAAATAAATGTAGCAGGGCGTAAAATTGACAAGTACCTTAATTTTTGTACAGATGAGGTCAGAACTGGAACATACAGACAACTGTTCCATCCTGAGCAACTGATTACCGGCAAAGAAGATGCTGCAAATAACTATGCTCGTGGCCACTACACCATTGGCAAAGAGATTGTCGACCTGGTCCTTGACCGTATCCGAAAACTGGCTGACCAGTGCACTGGCCTGCAAGGATTTCTAATCTTCCACTCTTTCGGTGGTGGGACAGGATCTGGGTTCGCCTCCCTGTTGATGGAGCGTCTCTCTGTCGATTACGGTAAGAAGTCCAAGTTGGAGTTTGCCATTTACCCTGCTCCTCAAATTTCGACTGCTGTCGTGGAGCCATACAACTCCATCCTGACCACCCACACAACATTGGAGCACTCCGACTGTTGTTTCATGGTTGATAACGAGGCCATCTATGACATCTGCCGTCGCAACCTGGACATCGAGCGACCAACCTACACCAACCTTAACCGTTTGATCGGCCAGATTGTGTCATCCATAACAGCTTCGCTTCGTTTCGACGGTGCTTTGAATGTCGATCTCACCGAGTTCCAAACCAACTTGGTGCCATATCCCCGTATCCACTTCCCATTGGCTACCTATGCACCCGTCATCTCTGCCGAGAAAGCCTACCACGAGCAGTTAAGTGTCGCAGAGATCACCAACGCCTGCTTTGAACCAGCTAACCAGATGGTGAAGTGCGATCCTCGGCATGGAAAGTACATGGCCTGTTGCCTGCTTTATCGTGGCGATGTGGTGCCTAAAGACGTCAACGCGGCAATTGCAACCATCAAGACCAAACGTACCATCCAGTTTGTTGACTGGTGCCCAACTGGTTTCAAAGTCGGCATCAACTACCAACCGCCGACTGTTGTACCTGGTGGTGATCTGGCGAAGGTCCAGCGCGCGGTCTGCATGTTGAGCAACACCACCGCTATCGCTGAGGCATGGGCTCGTCTCGACCACAAATTTGATCTGATGTACGCCAAGCGGGCGTTCGTCCACTGGTACGTTGGTGAAGGCATGGAAGAAGGCGAATTCTCGGAAGCTCGTGAAGATTTGGCCGCTTTGGAAAAGGATTATGAAGAAGTTGGTGTTGACAGCGTTGAGGCAGAAGGAGAGGAAGAAGGAGATGAATACTAAATTGACTCTCACTGCGTTTGTCTAACATGAATATTGCGTTGTAAGTTTTTGAAAAAATATATTTTGAAAAATAATATCTTTTTGGTTAAATTACTCGTCGAGGGGAGTTTCTTGCTGAATAGGAAAACTGGGAATCGGAGAAATTGCTTTCGTGGTAAATTTTCAATTTCGTAGTATTTTCTTTTTAAATTTCTTTGTTTTTAAAATTCACGTCCAATATAGAAAATTCGCTCTAACTCAAGCATGTCTTCACTTCCCATCACCACCCTACCCAACTGCCCTTGCACGTACTGGCGCCTCCACTGAGCTAAAATTGTAGAAGGTTACTGGTTAATCAGGATTTATTGATTATATCGGTTATATAACCGGTTCAACAACCGGCTAATCTCAGTCATCTGACTCCGATCGCGTGACAATAACATAGTGTGATCTCTGATCACCGTGACTGATGTTTTCAATTTTCGTTAAATTATTGTATCATATTACGTCTATTTTGTATCAAATTACGCAAGCTACTGTGTCACGTCTAGTATTTCCTACCGGCTGACTACTCATGACAATTTAATATCGCAAGAAGATGAAATCGTCCAATATTGACGATCTGCTGAATATTTTAGGCAAACCTGGCAAACTTCAAAGCTTGTCATTTTTATGCCTGTGTGCAAATATATGGATTGTAATGATGAATCACATGGCATCCGTGTTTTTCAACGCGAAGACGGACCATTGGTGTAAAATCAATGGCAACGGCAGCTTTGGTGAGCATCTTGTAACAAAAAGTGAAGACATTCACGCTTGTTATGTATCCATTGGAAATAACAGCGATAAAGCGAAATGCTCTGAATGGACCTATGACTTGCCAGAGGGAGAAAAAACTGTAGTATCTGAGGTAACGATGAATTTTAACTTCAGGATATAACAGTTGTGGATTTAGGGTCATGCACAGTCAATTAAAACAGAGCATAGCAGCCTGCATTTGAATATATTTATATAACGTGCATTTCTGTGCAGTCAAGCTCATCTTATGTACATGGCACCACTGTTTACCTGTGTACCTTCCTGGCCTAAACATTTTTTGAAAACGGTGAGGGTTGATGGATGAGGGTTAGGGGTTGCATGGTGGGTTACTGTCTACCCTAAGTTATATAGTGACTGCTTTACAGCCAGCCTAGGTGATGGCGGGAGAACTTTGGTAAAGCACACATTCAAAAAGATGAAATTAGCACATATAGCAATTTCAAACTTAAGTTAAAGGTCCACAAAAGATAATAATTATCAGGATGACAGGACCATAGTTTGAAGCTTAATTGAGGGGGAGAGTGAGTTTATATTCAGATATTCATCCCATGCCAGACTGACTTCTTTTGCATGCTATTATTCCTACAGTATATAAACATGAATATATGAATATACACCCATCCTGAGTTTCCAGCACCCTGGGGCCCAAGACCAATCTAGTCCTCATTATTAATTATAAGGCTGGTTTAAAAATGCAACAATGTTGCCACAATTGTTGCCACAACATTAAATGATATAATTGGGATTGAGACAGGATAAAACATTACTTGAAAATTGTTGGATGGTGTTGGATCACCAATGTTGGTTCCATTTGAACAAGGCATTGTATGAAATATAACTTATCTAAACATCTTGTTTATAATCAGCGAGTGTTCTCAGCAAGTCAAATGACTTTGCAAACAACGGTTGAATAACATGTGCAAAAACTATCATCGAAATTCTTCATCTCAAATATTCATACATTACAGTTTGACCTTGTTTGTGATGACGCCTATAAAAGTGATCTGACAACAACAATCTATTTTGCTGGTGTGATGATCGGAGGAGTAGTTTTTGGGATGCTTGCCGATAAATATGGCCGAAAACGTGTTCTTATTTTGACATTGTTACTATCTGGCATTGTTGGTGTTGCAATTTTTTTGTTGAGATATTATGCAGCCTATATTGTGCTGAGGTTCTTCTTGGGTTTTTTTATGCAGGTAAGCAACTTATGTGTTTTCCTCCAAGCTTTGGGTTAAATATTGGTTGGCAATGTGAACATGTGAGTTGTCCACTTGCTTAAACATATTCATCCACAAATTAGAGCAGGGTATCATGTTCTATTACTTTGTCCGAATATCCTTGTGTTTCAGTTACATTTGCTTTAATTATAGGGTATACAGAACTCGTCTTTTATTCTTGCCTTGGAAATACTGTCAATGAAGTATCGAACTCCTGGTGGTGTTATCATTCTTCTATCTGGTGGTGTTGGCATGTTATTCCTTGATTTCCTTGCATATGTTTTAAAAGATTGGAGTTATGTCCAACTAACCACATCATTGCTACCCTTTCTGCAGCTTGTGGCAATATGGTGAGGGTTTCTACCTACAGTTTAAAAAAATTTTTCTTTGTCTCATGAGCCTTGTTTCAGCTGTTTCTGGCAATGTGGCTGATGTGATCGTTTTTTTCCACATGTATGCAGCAGCCAACAATGGCCGGGCAATAATTTCATGTCCAGAAGCCACAAATATAATGTTTGATTCTAATCCGTTAGTATAAGTATTTGGGTGAGGGTTTGGGATATTTGTGGATTCTGCACATGGAATTATTATCCAACAATGACTGATTTGAATAAAAGAAATAATTCAAATTAAGCATTATTTACCTAAAGTTCTAACAAAACAAAAACGTTTTCCTCAACTTCATGGTGGATTTTGGCTACTTTTATTGACGGTTTAATAACTTTTCATGAAGACCTTCACAGATTAAGTATTCAGATAAAAAACAAGCACTTTTTTGTGACTGCCCTTTTAAGGTCAAGCATCTCGTCAGAAGCCAGACCCATAAAAAAATAGTCACGTATTACCAATTAACGTCAATTTATTTCCATGGAGATGGGAAACAATTACTCAGTTTATAATGGAAATATTTTTGTGTAATCATATACAGGGTGTCTCAAAAAAAACGCAATATTGTTCGGGTTTGCACCATAGTTCAGCTAAAATGACTTTTAGCATTTTACATGAAGGATTAAGAGCCATTTTCAATTCCCAGAGGTGCTTATCTATTGCGCTTTAGAGCTGTATTAATGTCTTGCATATTTAAGTTGTTGCGTTTTTTTTGAGACACCCTGTATAGTGGCACGTGCTGCGTGCATACGCATTACAGGTTAGGGTATTTTGTAACTGGTCGTATTTATGAACGTTCTACTCCCTTTGGAAGCAAATGAATGTTTAATTAACGTATAGTTTGTTGCAACGAATAATCCATACGGGCGAAAAATGTTTGGCCACCGCGAAAAATACATGCACAAAGAATTTATACACTTCGGTAGTGCAGTACACTGATTTAGAATACTCAAATATTGAGTACTACCGGTTAAAAGGTTAAAGGGAGATTATTTTATTTATTTGCCATTTTGTATGAGAGGTATTAATGAATCTTGCCTAGGCATTCTCACGGATTGGCTTGGCCTGAAAATTGTATTAAAACAAAATTCCTCCTATTCTTTAAAGCGGTTTGACAAATGCCTCTGCTGTCGAATTTGTGTTCTCTACGAAATTTAAATCGTTTAGGCATATCCCCGAGTCTTTGCGATGGAATATTGTGCACAAGAAGTTTGGTAAAGTCGAGGCTATCATCAAACGATATGCAGCGTTTAACAAACTACCGTTTCCTGGTAAATTGTTCGAAGAGATAAAGAGTGATGATTTGAACGAATGTGTGCAACACAAGCCAAAGGGAAATGTCATCGATGTCTTTAAATCTCCGAAATTACGGAAGATATCTTTAATACTTTTTTTGGCGTGGTAAGTGAAGTCGTTGATAACACTGTGCAATTCCTCTTAAGAAAAGGCAATCTAAATTTCGCATCTACATTCTTCACATATTTCAAGATCAAATTAATAATTATTATTAGATGTTTATGTTGATTCATGTCCAGTAGCGTAGCCAGCCTGACGATTTGTCCCGCTATGCTAATATTTTGGTGTTCATGGACTGTGAAAACAAATAAATTTCTAAAGAAATGAATTATTATAGTAACTCGAAATTTACATAGCGGGACAAAATCGTCAGTGGCTACACCACTGTTAATGTCTGGGTAGGCAAGCTATACTTTCGAAAGACTAATGCCCTGTTTTCCACCTTCAATCATATCGTAGCGAACTGACGTAGCGAATTCCCTGGGTATCCCTGGGTGTCCCTGGTGCCCGAGGGAAGTACCCCTACGAAAGTACGAAAGACCCTTGGTACGAGGTTGGGTCCATAGAGCAATGGAGCTAGGCCCTGGGGACGAGGATGGGTTGGGTCATCTAAACAGCGCATTTAGTTTCAAATAGTGCTGTGTGGTCAGTTATAAATGCGTCATAAATATACGTTTTATTTAGGTTCACGTTTTCGGCCGGATTTTATGGTCTGGCTTTTCATATATCCTTCCTATTTGGTGACAAATATTTGAACTTTGCATTAAGCTGCATTATGGATGTGATTATCGGAAGCAATTTGATCTGGATTATACCCAGGTAAACTCGACATGGGAAGATTTTGAAGACAAGATTGCCGTAGTGTCACCAACCAGTAGCGTAGCCAGCCTGCCGATTTGTCCCGCTATGCTAATATTTTGGTGTTCACTGACTGTGAAAACAATAGATTTCTAAAGACATGAGTAATTATAATAACTCGAAATTTACATAGCGGGACAAAATCGTCAGGCTGGCTACGCCACTGTCACCAACCATTGCTTATAGCTTTTGTAACCAAGTGCAAACTAAAAATACTTTACCTGCACAGCCATGCACGATAAAGCAACGCTTAATCCGTATAGATTATTCATCGTGTAAGGCCGAGTATAAGACTAAGTAGTACACAAAAGCACAAGTGTCAAGTTATTCACTTGTTAGTATTTTCTAGGTATGGTCGTCGTCGTCCAATGACCATACTCTTCTTTGTCAGCGCCGTGGCAAACGCTGTATGTTCCATCATGTCTCTGGAATCTGGTAAGTTCACTTTTCGTATTGCTAGCAGAATATTATCATTCCTTAAAGGCGGTGTTAAACTATGCAACATTCCTTGATTCTTCGAAGGTAGGTTACAGTTGATTTCATAAAACTTTGGGCGCTCCAGTTATGTTTGGAAGCTGTCAATAGGCGAGAAGTTGTCACTTCTGTTTAGTAATTCGCAACGAAGTTCGAATCGAACTTCGGAATTTCAAAGCAATTTCAATGCAGCAAAGAAATATTATTGTAATTGCTTTTTTAGTGGTATTTTAAAGTCGCCATTTTATAGCGATTTAGTCAAATTGTTCGCAAAGTTCGATTGGGAAATGGCTAATTAGCGAATGATTCCAAAATCCAATATGACTAGACAAGCTGGCGCCAACTGGGAGTCTCGGCGGTCAAAGGCTTCCAAAAATGTATCAAACCTCTATTCTAAGAACATCACGGTTTGAATTAAAAATAACGATTGATCTGCTTTCTTCATTACGTTTTGTTTTTGATGCCCGCGTTAAGTCGGCATGAGCAGATTTTCAAATCGGCAAAACCCGTGGCCGTGTGAGCGAAACACCCTTGGCCTTGACAGTTCATATAAACACGTTTTATTTATAATATTAACGATTTACAGGTTCCGTTAAGTTTGTTGGAACAGCCTTTGCGATAATTGGGAAAGCTTCGATAGGAACCAGTCTAGCTATTGGTTATATATACACATCCGAAATCTATCCAACTGTAGTAAGGTAATAATAAGTTATATAACACGTCAGGAAATATAAGTTATATAAAATACAATACATATAGTTGCATGCATTTGTGTGTAGTTAGATCCGAAAATCCATCACATCGATGGTTAACACTTTTATGACATGTATTATATAATATTTGGAAACTGTGGACTCCCCTAATGCCATAGACTTGATGCATATTAACTTAATAGATTGTACAGTTGATGTTTGATTTTAGATTTTGATCATAAAGATTAATATTGTCAATTTTTCATTACCCCGTCTTTCACTTTTCGTCAGCCCAACCCACTAGGCCTGTAAATAATGCATGCATGACCAGTCCCTATCGTCCTTGTCCAATCTTCCTCGGCATTACCTTTGTGGAAACTATGTTGAAACCATAAAAGTTATATGAGAAAAGCTTACGCATCTATTTCTTGGTGTCAATTTAACAGAAATGTAGGTTTGGGGATGAATACATTTTGGACAAGATTAGGAGGAATGGCTGCTCCACAAATTTTCTTTCTTGTAAGTGTTATTTTCCTCCGCTGGTATGTTTCCAATCTTCCAATCGTTATTCGTACATCAGCAAAAGATTGTATCCATGCATAACAATACTGAATATAAAAACAGTTGTATTTGGGTTCACCGAAGCAGATTCGACTTGATTTATTTTATTTTTGTTTCCAGGGAAAACATACATCTCCTTTTGTTCCTTATACTATTTTATCTATTCTGTGTTTGATGAACGGATTTTTTACTCTTCTCCTCCCCGAGACTGAAAACCAAGGTTTGAAAGATAGAATGGAGGTTTCCAAAACATCATTGATGGAAAAGGAAAATGGTGTCATTAGTAAACCAGACTCTGACATAAAGAGGGTAGAGTGTTATGAGACAGCTATCTGATGAACTAAATTGAATTAAAAATAACTATTGGCGGGAATCTGCGGGCTATCTGCATGTACAATAACTTATTTTTTCAAAAAAACATACGGTAATAAAATTATCAGGTTTTGGTTACTGCAGGCAAGCTATACCACACAGATATTCAAAAGGTTGAACAATTTGAAACGTTTCAGCGATTTATGTAGCTCTGGGTGGGTGGAACGGTGGTTCCAACATGCTTATATAACATGGGGACAATATGAATATGTATACACCCACAATTAAGCTTCAAGGCAGGCAACACGAAGCATATACTTGTACCCAGGATTAGTAGATTTCTGGCGAAGGTCCAGCGCGCCGTCTGCATGTTGAGCAACACCACCGCTATCGCTGAGGCATGGGCTCGTCTCGACCACAAATTTGATCTGATGTACGCGAAGCGGGCGTTCGTCCACTGGTACGTTGGTGAAGGCATGGAAGAAGGCGAATTCTCGGAAGCTCTTGGAAAAGGATTATGAAGAAGTTGGTGTTGACAGCGTTGAGGCAGAAGGAGAGGAAGAAGGAGATGAATACTAAATTGACTCTCACTGCGTTTGTCTAACATGAATATTGCGTTGTAAGTTTTTGAAAAAATATATTTTGAAAAATAATATCTTTTTGGTTAAATTACTCGTCGAGGGGAGTTTCTTGCTGAATAGGAAAACTGGGAACCGAAGAAATTGCTTTGTGGTAAATTTTTAAATTTGTAGTATTTTCTTTTTAAAATTTCTTTGTCTTTAAAATTCACGTCCAATATAGAAAATTCGCTCTAACTCAAGCATGTCTTCACTTCCCATCACCACCCTACCCGACAGCCCTTGCACTGGCGCCTCCACTGAGCTAAAATTGTAGAAGGTTACTGGTTAATCAGGATTTATGGATTCTATCGGTTATATAACCTGTTCAACAACCGGCTCATCTGATTCCGGTCGCGTGACAATAACATAGTCTGATGACTGATCACCGTGACTGATGTTTTCAATTTTCGGAAAATCATTGTATCAAATTAGGTCTATTTTGTATCAGATTACACAAGCTATTTCCTGTCTGGACATACTAAATAATTATGACAATTTAATATCGCAAGAAGATGAAATCGTCCAATATTGACGATCTACTGGATAATTTAGGCAAACCTGGCAAACTCCAAAGCTTGTCGTTTTTATGTCTGTGTGCAAATTTATGGATTGTTATGACGAATCACATGGCATCCGTGTTTTTCAACGCGAAGACGGACCATTGGTGTAAAATCAATGGCAACGGCAGCTCTGGTGTACGGCATCTCGTAACAAAAAGTGAACACATTCACGCTTGTTATGTATCCATTGGAAATAACAGCGATAAAGCGGAATGCTCTGAATGGACATATGACTTGCCCGAGGGAGAAAAAACTGTAGTATCTGAGGTAACGATGAATTTTAACTTCAGGATATGAGAGTTCACAGTTGTCGATTTATATTTTGGGTCAGTCAAAACAAAGCATAGCAGCTTACATTTGAATATATTTATATGTAACAAGACGCCAGGTGCCGTGCAGGTGCCAGTTTTTAATATAAAGCTTCTGAACATAAACAGTACAGTTCATACTCATTTAATTTAGATGCCTTGCGAACCTAAATGTTGTTCGATCGCGACATTCAGAAGCACATCGTACTTTAAAAAGAATACGAGCGGCCGATCTGTATGGGTATTTACACTGGCGAGTGCGTACGTAGCACGAGCCATTGTAAATCCCATACAGATCGGCCGCGAGTATTTTAACGTGCTTGTGAAATGAATAAATTAAGCTTAATGCATATTGTGGCATGTGTGTAACAAAGTTATGAATACTAATTAAGATTGGTTGTATCAAAGTTAATATATTTTAATATATTTCAATGTGTCATAATGAAATTGCAGTATTTTTTTATGAAACGCTTAATGACCTGAATTTTCCAAATAATTTGTATTCCAAGAATATATAGATCATAACTATACTGTGTTTCTTAAAAGCAAACAATGAATTTTGCAACTTTACACTAAAATAAAAGGACATACTATTTGTAATACAAGGCCAACAAAATGGCAGACCTCAGGTCAAAATATTAAAATTATTGCGAGGACCTCCCGCTCCGATTTCCTTCAAAATATGCATATTTCACTATATATCACTAGCTCAACAGTTAATACATAAAAGCATACAAATGTCCCAAACATGGATAAGTGGAAAATCATATTTTTTCACATTTTTTACCATTTCAACCTATTTGTAGAAATGGAGCTAGTCTCACACATTTGTGTCAATAAAACTTGACTTAATATCTGACTTAATATGGCTTTATGGAATACAAATTACGTCAATAAAAACTGACAATATCCAGCTATGACTGCCTATACTTTGTCTTGATGTTTACGAACGATTGCGTCAAAAATATCACAAAATATACAAGGAATAGAACGAATCGTGGAAAAAAAGCAAAATAAACTACTCTCGGGAAATAATGAACAATTGAAGAGACATTAAAATGCAACGACAATCTGATTTTAAAATATTTGCATAAAAGGGTCAAACATCGTCACCACAGGGGTACTTTACCCGCAATAAATGCATTAAATATAAAATAAAGCAGCAAAATTAGCCGTACCTGGAAAAGTTCGATAGCCAAACATCACTCTTCTAGCTCTCTCCAAAAATAGTCGCAGTCGTTTCCTTCCAAAAATAAGGTGTCAGGCTTGCAGATATCCCAGGCTAAACTGAACTTATTACGGACAATTCATTTCTTGTGTTTATTCTGAAATCGTAATGCACCCAACTGGAAAATTACCCTGGTAATTCACCGAAAGCATGCAACCACGCCGCCAATCTCGCGCAAGGCATGACGGTATTTTTGAGCGCTCATTACTCGATATTCTAAAAAATCTCCTCTTAATTAACAATTCATGAGACCTTTATGGAGAATTACAGATGTATACATGTGACCTAAATACGTACTGCGCAATGATTGCAAGTTAGACTCATTAATTATTCATGAATTTCACAAATTTACTCAAAGTTCCTCAGTTTTGGAGGAATTGCCGTATCATGCGAGCGAAATCGAATCGCGCATCGGAAAATTAGTCGGAGATTTTAAGCTGTCAGTGTGCACCACAACTCTTGGGAGACAAAGCTATGACGTTCATAAATACGGTCACATACATTATTCAAATACTAGTATATTTCGCACCAAAACACACTTGCGACGACAAAAAATAAAAAAATAATAAATAAATAAAAGAAAACAAAAACAAAACAACACCGGGGCGAAAATAACTTCGTCGCTGACAGGTCAAATGACTTTGCCAACAATAACGGTTGAATTACATGTGCAAAAACCATCATCAAAATTCTTCATTATATATATTTATACATTACAGTTTGACCTTGTTTGTGATGACGCCTATAAAAGTGATCTGACAACAACAATCTATTTTGCTGGTGTGATGATCGGAGGAGTAGTCTTTGGGATGCTTGCCGATAAATATGGCCGAAAACGTATTGTTATTTTGACATTGTTACTATCTGGCATTGTTGGTGTTGCAATTTTTTTGTTGAGATATTATGCAGCCTATATTGTGCTTAGGTTCTTCTTGGGGTTTTTTATGCAGGTAAGCAACTTATGTGTTTTCCTTCAAGCTTTGGGTTAAATATTGGTTGGCAATGCAACCACTTGCTGAAACATATTCATCCACAAATTAGAGCTGGGTATCATGTTCTATTACTTTGTCTGAATGTTCTTGTATTTCAGTTCCATTTGCTTTATAGGGTATACAGAACTCGTCTTTTATCCTTGCCTTGGAAATACTGTCCATGAAGTATCGAAGTACTGGTGGTATTATATTTCTTCTATCTGGTGGTATTGGCATGTTATTCCTTGATTTTCTTGCATATGTTTTAAAAGATTGGAGTTATGTCCAACTAACCACATCATTGCTACCCTTTCTGCACCTCGTGGCAATATGGTGAGGGTTTCTACCTACAACTTAAAAAAATGTTTCTGTCGTCTCATGAGCCTTGTTTCAGCTGTTTCCGGCAATGTGGCTGATGTGATAGTTTTTTCCACATGTGTGCAGCAGCCAACAATGGGTAATAATTTCATGTCCAGAATATAATCCGTGATTGATTTGATTTTAATCCTTTATTATAAGTATTTGGGTGAGGGTTTGGGTCAGGTTTAGGATTAAAAGTTAGTATTATATTTGTGGATTCTACATATAGAATTATTATCCAGCAATGACTGATTTGAATACAAGAAATAATTCAAATTAAGCATTGTCTACCTTTTTAACTAAACAAAAACGTTTTTCTCGACTTCATGGTGAATTTTGGCTACTTTTATTGAGGAATATGATTACTTTTCACGAAGACCTTCAGAGACCTTTTAAATATTCAGATGAAAAACAAAAACAAGCACTTTTTTGGGACTGCCTTTTCAAGGTCCAACAACTCGTCAGAAGCCAGGGCCGGTTGTATAAAAGCCGGATAGCGCTATCCATCGGATAGTGATTTTTTCAACCGTTCTAAAAATGCTTGAAGAGCAATAAATGGAACCAACAATTGTTGAAAAGGATCCTCAATTTAGGAATACAAAGATTTAATCAAAGTTGTACCCAACAACGGGCGATTTTAAAGCTATTGAAAAAACCACTATCCGGTGGATAGCGCTATCCGGCTTTCAGCCGGCCCTAGACCTAGAAAAAATTACGTCACGTATTACCAAGTTGTGCGTTCATGCGCGGTACAGGTTAGGGTATTTTGTAACTGATCATATTTATTTATGAACGTTCTACTCTGTTTGGAGCCAAATGAATGTTTAATTAATGTATAGTTTGTTGCAATGAGTAATCCATATGCGCATGCGCAACTTTATTGTAATTTTTGGCCACCATGCACGAGAAATACATGCATGAAGAGTTTATACACTTCGATAACTCAATTGGAATACTTAAATATTGAGTAGTGAGTACTACCGGTTAAATGGTAGATTATTTACCATATGGTATGAGAGGTATTAATTAAATCTAGCCTTGACATTCTGATTGGCTTAATGGCCTAAAAAAAATATTAAAACGAAATTCTTCCTATTCTTTAAAGCGGTTAGACAAATGCCTCTGCTGTTGAATTTTTGTTCTCTACGAGATTTAAATCGTTGTGTTTAGGCATATCCCCGAGTCTTTGCGATGGAATATTGTGCACAAGAAGTTAGGTAAAGTCGAGGCTATCATCAAACGAACTGCAACGTTTAACAAACTACCGTTTCCTCGTAAATTGTTTGAAGAGATAAAGAGTGATGATTTGAACGAAAAATGTGTGCAACACAAGCCCAAGGGAAATGTCATCGATGTCTTTAAATCTCCGAAATTACGGAAGATATCTTTAATACTTTCTTTGGCGTGGTAAGTGAAGTGGTTGATAACACTCAATCTCGTTCCCCGAGCCCGCGATTCCTCTGGCGAGAAAACGAAGGCTCTGGGATAATCCAAACCAGAAATGATTCTGATTGGTTGTTCACGCCGTTTTAATTTTGAAATACAAAAAACCGTTACAAATCGCAAGCCAGGATTTCTGGCTTTTGGTTTGGATTATCCCAGAGCCTTCGTTTTCTCGCCAGAGGAATCGCGGGCTCGGGGAACGAGATTGGATAACACTGTGCAAGCCCTCAATAAATAATAATAATAATTTTTAGGCAATCTAAATTTTGCATAATATTCAGCCAAATGTAGATCTACATTTTTAATTAAAGATCAAATTGTTAATTATTATTAGATGTTTATATTGATTCATGTCTCATGTCTGGATGCCTGGCAAGCTATACTTTCGAAAGATTTTAAGCCTGTTTCCACTTTAATCACATCGTAGCGGAACGTAGCGAATTTCCTGGGTGCCCTGGTACCCCAGGCAATATAAACAGTAAACAGCGCCTTTAATAGTGCTGTGTGGTCAGTTATAAATGCGTCATGAATATACTTTTTATTTAGGTTTACGTTTTCGGCCGGATATTATGGTCTGGCTTTTCATATATCCTTCCTATTTGGTGACAAATATTTGAATTTTGCATTAAGCACCATCTTGGATGCGATTATCGGAAGCAATTTGCTCTGGATTATACCCAGGTAACCTCGACATGGGAAGATATTGAAGACAAGACTGCCGTAGTGTAACCAACCATTGGTTATAGCTTTTGTGACCAAGCGCAAACTAAAAATACTTTACCTGCACAGCCATGCGCGATAAAACAACGCTTAATCCGCATATAGATTATTCATCGTGTAAGGCTGTGTGTAAGGCTATGTGCACACGTTGACGAGCGTTGTCACACTTGTTTTCATTCCGAAACGTTTCAAACACCGTCAATTTACAATGGAAGTTGAAGCTAATTTAACATATTAAGCATATTTTCCTTGGATCGTGTGGACCAGGCGTCTAAGCGATAAAATAGACAAAAACGAATTTGAAAACGCTCACCAAAAACGACGCTCGTGTGCACATGACAGAATTTGACAATGACGCAAGTGTAACGAACTACTAAGCACTAACAAGGCAACAATTTTATAGACTACCTCATTGATTATTCAAAGCTGGAGTTGCTACCACTTTTTGAAATTGTAAAAAAATTTCTAGAGAAGGAAATTAGTAATAACTGTATATCTACAGTTATACCCATATCTCCACAAATGTTCTTACAATTTCAAAAAGTGGTAGCAACTCCAATTTAGAATAATCCCTGGTCCTGGACTAGTGTTGTTGATCCTTTGTTGACGATTTTGTAGCTGTCAGGGAATTCGCATTTGCACCGCGACCAGTTGATCAATTTATTCTGATTAACCTTTGCTATTTGCTTAAGTCCTATAATCCTGAAACGTCAGTTTTACATTGCAATTTGCAAATCGTGCAGAATTAAGCAGTACACAAGAGCACAAGCGTCAAGTCATTCACTTGTTAGTATTTTCTAGGTATGGTCGTCGTCGTCCAATGACTATACTCTTCTTTGTCAGCGCCGTGGCAAACGCTGTATGTTCCATCATGTCTCTGGAATCTGGTAAGTTCACTTTTCCTATTGCTAGCAGAATATTATCATTCCTTAAAGGCGGTGTTAAGAGCCCCGTTTGCACGATACTCAATTTATTGGCACGGCATGCACGGCTAAAATGGGTATCCGTGGCCATTTTATTTGTGGTCGGCCTTTGTTTTGGTAGCCTGAACACTGATAAGGGTAAGGGTAAGGAACACGGGTAAGGGAACCAATTTTATCCGTGCCGTGCCAATAAATTGAGTGTAGTGTAAACGGGGCTAAGGTCTGTTCACACGATCCAATTCATTCTGATGAATGTTTTATAGTCTGTTGTCTTATTGTAATGTATATGAGCAACAATCAACAAATCAACTGAAGCCAATGCACTACTACTGATCAGACCGGTTCTGTCAGTACAGACAAATAAATTGCTGGTATTTCAGAGTGTCTTAAGAAATCTGCATTCAGATTTAATGTTATTTACATCTGATTAGCCGGAAAAATGCTGTTTCCCCGCTATATTTTTAACGAAATCCTCTATTTCAATTCAAAATACGACCGGTCTGACCATTTTGGCCGCTTCATGGAAAGCGCCCATAGTTCGCGAGCGGCCAAAGTTTTATGAAATCAACTGTAAATGCATGGTTCCTGCGTATCGCGATTCTGGTAATAACTCATAACCAATTTGACGCTTCTTGCTTTTTACTTTTCTAAACCTTTTCTAAAATTAGCCATATCTAGCTAAAATGGTGTTCAGCTAATTAGCAAATGATTCCAAAATCCAATATGACTAGACAAGCTGGCGCCAACTGGGAGTCTCGGCGGTCAAAGGCTTCCAAAAATGTATCAAACCTTTATTTTTAGAACATTACGGTTTAAATTAAAAATAACGATTGATCATGGGAAGCTTTTCAAAACCCGTGTGAGCGAAACACCCTTAACAGTTCATATAAACAAGTTTTATTTATAATATTCAATATCATCTTCAGTAACAGGTTCCGTTAAGTTTGTTGGAACAGCTATGGCGATAATTGGGAAAGCTTCGATCGCATCCAGTATAGCTATTGGTTATATATACGCATCCGAAATCTATCCAACTGTAGTAAGGTAATAAGTTTTATTATATGAACATGCATGAGTGTTATATAGAGTAAAATAAAAAAATGAAGGCTTTAGCTCATTAACATAAGGTTCGGCACGTGAAAAGTTTGACGTCTGAAACAAGTCTAATACAATACATATCGTTGCATGCATTTGTGTGTAGTTAGATCCGAAAATCCATCACATCGATGGTTAACACTTTTATGACATGTATATTATAATATAATTGGAAACTGTGGACTCACCTAATGCTATAGACTTGATGCATTTTAACTTAATAGATTGTACAGTTGATGTTTGATTTTAGATTTTGATCATAAAGATTTATATTGTTAATTTTTCATTACCCCGTCTTTCACTTTTCTTCAGCCCAACCCACTCTATATGCATGCATGCATGATCGATCCCTATCGTCCTTGTCCAATCTTCCTCAGGATTACGTTTGTGGAAACTATGTTGAGACCATAAAAGTTATGAAAAAAGCTTACGCATCCATTTCTTGGTGTCAATTTAACAGAAATGTAGGATTGGGGATGAATACATTTTGGACAAGATTAGGAGGAATGGCTGCTCCACAAATTTTCTTTCTTGTAAGTGTTATTTTCCACGCTGGTATGTTTGTGCAGCCAGAGCAGACTGCATGGTGATATATCGATATCTAGACTGATGATAAAAAAGCCCACGCACATTTCCCTGAAGCTACAGTATATAGTTTTTGTGAGCTTCGATTGGAAGTGCTTGACATCCAACTGTGGCGTAGCCAGGCCGACAATTTGGACATGCTATGGACTTATTAAATTCTATAGAATTTCATCGTTTTCACAGTCAATAAACACCAAAATATTAGCATAGCATGACTAAATTGTCAGGATGGCTATACGCCACTGACTTCCAATCGTTGTACATCAGCAAGAGATTGTATCCATGCATAACAATATATTGAATGTAAAAACAGTTGTATTTGGGTTCACTGAAGCAGATTCGACTTGATTTATTTTATTTTTGTTTCCAGGGAATACATACATCTCCTTTTGTGCCTTATACTATTTTATCTGTTCTGTGTTTGATGAACGGATTTTTTACTCTTCTCCTCCCCGAGACTGGGAACCAAGGTTTGAAAGATAGAATGGAGGTTTCCATGACATCATTGATGGAAAAGGAAAATGGTGTCATTAGTAAACCAGACTCTGACATAAAGAGGGTAGAGTGTTATGAGACAGCTATTTAATGAACTAAATTGAATTAAAAATAACTATTAGCCGGAATCTGTGGGCTATCTGCATGTACAATAACTTTTTTTATACTGAAAAAATACAATAGTAAAACTCTCAGGTTTGGTTACTGCAGGCAAGCTATACCGCACAGATATTCAAAAGGTTGAACAATTTAAAACGTTTCAGAGATTTATCTCAACAGCGCATGCTATGGAACCATCGGCATATGGCATGTGTTCATCCAACATGCTTGGCTCCCATCCCAGGGCCGTAGCTTGACCGTTAATTGGAGGGGGGGAGTGTATATTCATATATTTATGCTTTTATACCAAGGGCGCAGCCAGCCTGACGATTTTGTCCCGTTATGTAAATTTCGAGCTATTATAATTATTAATGAAATCTATTGTTTTCACAGTCAGTGAACATTAAATATTAGCATAGCTGGTCAAATCGACAGGCTGGCTACGCTGCTGTTATAACGTAGGGCAATACTGTGTGACTATGTATATACAACCACAATTAAGCTTCAAAGCCTTCAAGGCAGGCAACACGAAGCATATTTGTACCCAGGATTGGTAGATTTCTGAATAAGCCAAATATTATTTATTAACATAACCATTCTATGCCATTTCGTTCTTTCGCGCCATGCAATAACAACATGCAGAGGCTTAATTATTTATTCAGTAATTTACCAACTGTATACCACACGATTACGTAGGTGTTTTAATCATTACGGCATAAAAATTATGTTGGAAAGCAAAATACAGGGTGTCTCAAAAAAAACGAAAACCTTTGAAATCACGCATAATAATGTAATTGTTAGAGTTTGAATGCCTAAGGCTAAGCACTCTGTTGGGACCCACAGGTGTGTAAATGTTTGCCATAAGCATTTTTATGCACGCATATGATGCAGTAAAATTTGCAAAGTAAAATTAGCAAAAATGATATTTATTAACAATATTTACAATTTAAAAATGTGGATAACAGTATTTAAACGTGCATCTCAATCACCATGACCTTCGACATGTCCCCTTTCTCTAGCAACACAAAGCATTTAGCATTTTATAAGTTGCATTAAATCCCCACGGGCTAAAATTCGTTAACACGTCATTCAAATTTTAACAATGAGTGATTTCAATAGTTTTTTTTGAGACACTCTGTTGTTCTTTCCTGCTATATAAAAATTAAATCGTTGGACTAATACGACATGTTTAAAGTGACGCCGTATTTTTTGAGACAGGCTGTATATTATGTGTATTAAACCTGATACACGTTGATATTCAGTCTGATCAATATTGAAGCGAGGTTATTAAGGGAAGATCAAGCACCAAGGCTTATAAGGTTGGTAATCGAGAATAAAAGGATATATATATATACCACAAATAATTAAAGTTGAAATGATCGTTATACAATAAACAAGTGTTGGGCTAGCCGCGATGGAGGAATATTGATTCTCTAGACTTGCACGGTTTGATGGTAACAGAGAGTAGGGGAATCGAGTTCGGTAAAGGCATTTAACTAAAAGGTAGACTACAGTCGGTAAGGTAAACAAACGTTGTGTTTAATGTTTCATCGTTATATCTCTTTAAAATATCCATCAGAATATTTATTACTATTTTAGTGTAAAATGAATAAGAGACACAGTTTATGTTCAAAGAAATTCAAAACATGCGAAATTTGTGCAATTTCTAAATCATGGAGTCCCCCAATGTTATGAGCAGAGCCGATGCGCAGAAGCCGTCTTGAAAACTTTAATGCTAATTCTTTGTTTCTTTGAAGCTCATCGGAAAATCAGGTTTGGTTGCTAAACAAATGCCGAGCATGCGAATCGATCGATGTGCTTTCGGTGTGGCAAAACCGCATACAAACGAAAACGGAGTTTTAGTGGGCAGTAAATGCAATTGGACATGCATAAATTAGCTTCCTTTCTCTCCAAACAATTCATTCATAGGCCCACTTAGCGGTACGCGAATATTGCAGTATTATTAAACCATGACATGCCAGACATGGCTTTGTTAGGTAGAAAAAGATGTGTTCGTTTTATGGTGGTGGTCGCCTTCTATGCACATAAACAATTTATTTAATGACGCATTTCTCATCACCATTAAATTGATGTTCTTCCTGCACTTCAGTCCAATGGCCAAAACTCAGTTCCAAAATTCGCAAACAACACAACGAAGACAAATTAACTTTTGAGGAGAATGTTTTCGTAGTAAAGTAGAGATATACATGTGACAAGACATACACATTACGTTATATTACAAATACTGAAAATATACTGATCATATAGTTCATTGTAGTTCTTATAGAAGCGGAGTACGTTTGCTAGCATGCAGGGCAGTTTGGAATGGGTCAACGAGAACGATTTTTGAAGCAATCAGACAGTTCTCTCGTGCCAATACAATGAGTTTTCACGAACAACTGTTGGTCAATGCGTGTACAGATATCTCCAGGGGAAAGGGCGCTGGGCGAACTTCATATTCACAGCAGAACGTTAAACGGCAAACATGCATTTCGGATGAAACTTGACATTTTTACAATGTTTCTCATCATGCAAATTTGACACGACGGCTGGTAAAATTCTTACTGTTTTACACGCTGTCACGATGTTAATACCTCTCCAGAGTTTCAAAGCCGGATGACAATGGTCAAATTTAGCGGTTAAAAGATAGTTTGTTGAAACCGAACGCGAAGGCCAAAAACGACTGGATGTTATTTATCGTTATTTCTTCGAGAAACCGACTTTTCGACCATTCGAAAGATTTCGAGTCAAAAACGATTGGATGTTATTTATCGTTATTTCTTAGAGAAACTGACTTTCCGACCATTCGAAAGATTTCTGGTCATAAACGATTGGATGTTATTTATCGTTATTTCTTGGCGAAACTGACTTTCCGAACATTCGAAAGATTTCAAGTCAAAAACGACTGGATGTTACTTATCGTTATTTCTTGGAGAAACTGACTTTCCGAACATTCCAAAGATTTCAAGTCAAAAACGATTAGATGTTATTAAAACGATTGGATGTTATTTATCGTTATTTCTTTGAGAAATCGACTTTCCGACCATTCGAAAGATTTCAAGTCAAAAACGATTGGATGTTATTTATCGTTATTTCTTGGAGAAACCGACTTTCCGACCATTCGAAAGATTTCGAGTCCAAAACGATTGGATGTTATTAAAAACGATTGGATGTTATTAAAACGATTGGATGTTATTTATCGTTATTTCTTGGAGAAACTGACTTTCCGAACATTCGAAAGATTTCGAGTCCAAAACGATTGGATGTTATTTATCGTTATTTCTTAGAGAAACTGACTTTTCGACCATTCGAAAGATTTCGAGTCAAAAACGATTGGATGTTATTTATCGTTATTTCTTAGAGAAACTGACTTTCCGAACATTCGAAAGATTTCGAGTCAAAAACGATTGGATGTTATTTATCGTTATTTCTTAGAGAAACTGACTTTTCGACCATTCGAAAGATTTCGAGTCAAAAACGATTGGATGTTATTTATCGTTATTTCTTAGAGAAACTGACTTTCCGAACATTCGAAAGATTTCGAGTCAAAAACGATTGGATGTTATTAAAAACGATTGGATGTTATTTATCGTTATTTCTTAGAGAAACTGACTTTCCGACCATTCGAAAGATTTCGAGTCAAAAACGATTGGATGTTATTAAAAACGATTGGATGTTATTTATCGTTATTTCTTAGAGAAACTGACTTTTCGACCATTCGAAAGATTTCGAGTCAAAAACGACTGGATGTTATTTATCGTTATTTCTTAGAGAAACTGACTTTCCGACCATTCGAAAGATTTCGAGTCAAAAACGATTGGATGTTATTTATCGTTATTTCTTTGCCATGGAGAAACTGACTTTCCGATCATTCGAAAGATTTCTGGTCAAAAACGATTGGATGTTATTTATCGTTATTTCTTAGAGAAACTGACTTTCCGAACATTCGAAAGATTTCGAGTCAAAAACGATTGGATGTTATTTATCGTTATTTCTTTGCCATGGAGAAACTGACTTTCCGAACATTCGAAAGATTTCGAGTCATAAACGATTGGATGTTATTTATCGTTATTTCTTGGCGAAACTGACTTTCCGAACATTCGAAAGATTTCAAGTCAAAAACGATTGGATGTTATTAAAACGATTGGATGTTATTTATCGTTATTTCTTTGAGAAATCGACTTTCCGACCATTCCAAAGATTTCGAGTCAAAAACGATTGGATGTTATTAAAAACGATTGGATGTTATTTATCGTTATTTCTTGGCGAAACTGACTTTCCGACCATTCGAAAGATTTCGAGTCAAAAACGATTGGATGTTATTTATCGTTATTTCTTGGAGAAACTGACTTTCCGAACATTCGAAAGATTTCGAGTCCAAAACGATTGGATGTTATTTATCGTTATTTCTTGGAGAAACTGACTTTCCGACCATTCGAAAGATTTCGAGTCAAAAACGATTGGATGTTATTAAAAACGATTGGATGTTATTTATCGTTATTTTTTGGAGAAACCGTTTTTCAAGAAAATTTCAACATTATACAATGTCCTTGGTTGGCATGTTGAGCTAGATTTTCAACGTTTGTAAGGGAAGAATTTCCCTAGATTTTGAAGGGAATAATTTGTATGCAATGAATATGAATATTTTATATATTATATATATTCATTGCTTTACGTTAAATTATTTTTTTCATTGCATGAACCAGTATATATAGGTCCCTGGTGCCATTATCTTGATCAGATCTTTGAGTAAGACAATTCGATAATTTTAGTCAAGTGAATGTTTCGAATAGCATCATGTAAAAGTGGTTTGCGGTGCCGGACCATATTCGAATTTAGTAATTTGGTGAACACTGAACTTAAACATCATACAATGTACTTGGTTCAAGCGATTTGATGTTTCAACAAGAGTGGACTTCGGCTGCCGAAGACGGGACCGTTTCGTCGAATACGAGCCACAATGCAGCCCTTCAGTGATCTACGATGCGTAACGTTTGAAAACCTTCGGAAATGCGTGTCGCCTTTCAGGCCTGTTAAACCCGGAATGTATATTGCTTGTTCTAATGAGGTCAAACGCCCGACCAATGGCTCAACATGCTCCTTCTTCATCGCAGTTATCCTTGGCAAAACCAAAGAAAAAAGACGCAAAGAATATAATTCAGAATAAGAAGAAGTATACTGAGTACTGACAGAGATGTGGCGGATTGACGGTTCTACAAATGTAGGATCAGTGACTTGTATTTATTTGGAATAAGAACTTCTCCCG